AGACATGGAAAATCCTGGAAATTAAGGATATCTAGTTGCCAAACCATTGTACCAGCTCCCCTTCATCCTTCTTGACAGGCATTAAAAACTGCCCCTGCCAAATGTCTGGATTCTTTATCTTCCCCCTGGTTGGGCCACTGTCATGCATTATAATGACTTGGACATTTCACATCACTAGCAGCTGAACCAGCCGGGTAGGATCAATTTCACAGGGACCCCTTGGGTTGCACGTCAAACTAAGCCCTTAGAATTTTTGTTGTTGCTGGGAAAAGGCTAAGATGGGATGTCATCTCCCACTGCCTGGGTGTCAGGTGCAATGTGGGGCAGGGCCCCGAGATGAGAGGCAGTCCAGTGGGGCAGGATTTGGGGTTGGAATGTGGAGATGAAACTCCAACTCTCTCACCTCTTAACTTACCCTCGGAGTCTTGACAGGTGTTTTCTCTGAACTTTTTTTTTTTTTTTCTTTTTTCACTTGTAAAATGGGAGTAAGAAATTTATTTCTTCTGGGTCATTTCACAGATTATATTGGAACATTTGGGAGAGCATTTGGCAATTAGTCAGTACTCACTACATTAAAAACAGAAAAAGCTTTCCTGCGCCTAGGGGTTTCCTGGGGGGTGGCTGGATACCGATAGTGCTTGCCTCAAAGTGCGGTTCCAGGCCCAGAGTGTTGGCATCACCCAGGAGCTTGGTAGAAATTAAGAATGAGACTCGTGGGCCCCAGCCTGGATCTACTAAATCAGAATCTTCATTTCCACAAGATCCTCAGGGATTCAAAGTTCGAGGGGAGCCTGAAGTCCTGCATTGCTAATAAGCTCCATGCAAGCGAGGAATTGAGAAGAGGTAGGATGCTGACGACAGAGGGGCAAAGATGGGTTTGCAGATTTTGGAGGACTCTCTCCATGTGTGTTACATCCAAATAAGAATGACTTCCTCTTGGCAGGAGATTGAACTCCGATGAGGGCTTTCTCTGGCACAGAAAAGCCAAACCACTAATCTGAATAAATAAGCATCAATTTTATTGAATCATGAATAATTTAAGACTGGTACAATCATCAGCTTTATTCTCTATGACGTGGGGCATGATCTCTGGCAGATCATTGGCAAATCCAAAAACCTCATGACAAATGAAAATTAAATAGGGAAGGAGGGAGAGAAGGAGAAAGGGGACGGAGGATGGAAACATACCGTACACAAAATACTCAATTCCTAGTTTTCTCTTTAAAAATGGCTAGAAAAAATTCATCAAAATGCAGCACTTTAATCAATTATTTACAATTTCTATGTTACAATGAAAAAATGTACATCTTATAGAACATATTTCATAAACTGCTCCACTGGAAACAACTAGATCAAAACAGCAAACCTTCCATTGAATATCCACAAAGTTGGATGGTTTTTTTTTTCCTTTTGAAGTAGATTCGCCACAATCAAATTTGAACACACAGAATTTTGAAGTTTAAGCATCAACAATAAAATTTAAAAATGTCCCCAAGATACAACAAAGGTCTAGGCAAGTCTCGTTCCTTGTCCCACCCCTATCCCACCCACCACCTTAAATTAAAAGGTATTCCCATCTCATTTATGGCCTGTATAATTCTTGGCAGTTTGGGAAGAAAACTTTTGGCTTCCACTGGTAACTCAACACAAATGTTGCATAGAATTTCATACATTTCAAAATGAGCCTAACTGTAGAAAAAGGCAAATGGAAGCATTTTGGACAGAGCCCTAAATGAGCACAAAGTCACTTTGTCAAAGGTGAGCGACACAAAAGTAAAACAGGACCAAAGTACGAAATGTGCATATCAGACAACCCTGCTTCCCGAAACTTGAGGAAGGACACCGAGTTGCGAATCATATGAGGGCTACACTCCTTGAAACCATCATTCCCTAGTCAGGTAGCACCAGGGACAGAGGTCTCGGTGCTGAGCCTGGACCCAGTGGAAGGGAAGTCTGTAGGACTGGGGAGACGAGGAAGAGAATGGAGGGTGTCATTAAATAATAATAAAAAAAATAGTTCCAAAGGATATTGGCAGGTGTCGACTCACAAGGTGACTGGGAAAACTGCCCATGAGGAGAAGTCAATTTTACCTCCTCCTGAATTCACAGTATGAGCGTGTAAGGTCATCGCTGCGAGATAAACTGGGAAGGATCACTGTTCGGGTTTACCAGAAGGCTCAGGGTGTGGCCCGCGGTCACAGGCTAGATACATGCTTCAAACATTTTATGAAAAACGAAACAGAACAAGACACACTCACACACCCGGATGACTAAGGAAGGCTTGAGAGAATAGAGTCGGAGTTTACTAAGATTCAAGAAAAGAGCACATGGAGAGGTTTTCCACTGACCTGTTGGTGGGACACATCGCCCTCTTCCTTTCAAGGAGGAAGGAAATGATGAGGACCAATGTAATGTGAGCAGTTTCAGGTCAAGCTCTTGTGGGAAGAAAATAAGAAAAAATGTAGAGAGAGGGACCGTTGGAAAAAGAAATGTTAAAAAAAAAATGGAAAAACCCTGATCATTAACAGAGACACCCCCACCAAGGGGGTCCAATAAAGATTTTCTTTATCAAACAGAAACAAATGACTCAAAGATTTACCAAGCTCTGCAGAGAAAATTCCAGCATGTGGAAGACATACACTAATGGAGTGTCGGTCAGTGATGTCATGTAATGTTGTCAGAACTTTTGCCTTTTCATGCACAAGACAGATTCATCGTCCAGGCAGCAGGGTGTTAGCAGGAAACTAAGAATCTAAAAAAAAAAAAAAAGATCTTTCCTTTTTTTTCCTCTTTTTCTTTTTCCCACGGTCACGCACCCACACAAATGATTCTTTTGGATGAGAAAAGTCACATTAACTTGCGTTCTCCTAATGAGCAGATGACTTTTTAGCCCTGTTTGCTCTCATGGGGAAAACAAACAAACAAAAAAACGGACCCCAGGCAGGCACGACACTCATCAACGAACGCGGTTAGTACAAAACCAGTAAGGCATCGCTTTGGGAAGGTCAGCACCGAAGAGGTCAGGCAAGACTCGTCCGACAGAGGCTGGGGCTTCTGGAAGGGAGCAACCGCCCCACCACCTGTCGAATTGTATGACGTCACGTTGGTTCTGAGGAAAGTGCAAGTGTTTGACGAGGTGACCTCACACCCCATCCAAGGTTGGGGCTGGCACACTAGAGGTGTCGATGGGCGTCCTACAGCCTCGAGGACGAGGAGGAAAGGCAAGGTCCCGCTCACCCACGTGCTGAGGACGGGGTCCTGGTCCACCATAAGGGACACAGTGACCCCAGCCCCAGCAGGAGGCAGCGAGTGTACAGAACTGAGAGGGTGGACAACTGAAAACCAAAACTCAGCAGGACCAAACCAAAACCCAACTCCTGCGGTTCTCACGTTCACCAAAGGATGGATTCTGACTACGAGGGGAAGGAGGGAAAAAAACAAAAATCTTCAAAACCAAGAGTCAGAAAGGGAGAAACTCAACCTCATTTTCAAAGGGGTGATCAGTTCTCCAAAGTAGACCAATTCTCACTGTACACAGTGTTAGCAGGAAAAAAACCTGATTCGTTTATAAACAAGGAGGAAACAGACACATGCTGTTCTGGGTTTACAGCCACATCTGCTCGGCCACATTTTCACACCTTCGCTCTCGCTCGTGGATGAACTGGAGGCTGACGGATCTGAAAGGTGGGGTTGAACTGGAACAGGCAAAATACCTCTCGGGTAAGGAGAGCACCATTTAAAAAACAAAAGAGAGAAAGCACGATTTGTTTTTCCTAAGGTTCCCTGTGTTGCAGCTCTGCAGTTTGTTGAGTGTGACCAAAGCAAGGGCCCCAGCTTGCCCCCGATCTCTCTGTGGCCGGCGGTGTGGAAGGGCATCGGCGGGGTGGAAGGGCACTGGTGGGGTGTAGGGGTGCTGGCGGCAAGACCTGGTCTGCAGGGTCTGTGCTCAGGGGGAAGCCGTGCCGTGTCCGTTTCCGACTTTGCTCTAGTCTCTTCTGTCTCTGGGCAGCTCAGGGCAGGATGCTGTTTGGTTTCAGAGCTTGGTTGGTTGGTTTGTTTGCCATTTTTGTTTCAACGGTGATGATCCTTTCCCGAGAAGTATCTTTCAGTGTCTTAGGGAGGTCACAGCAACAAGGCAAAACAATAATTCAAACAGAAGATAGTGCAGTGGAAGGACGCGGTCCCAAGGCGGCTGGCCTGGGATGCCTGCACCCAGGTCAAGGCTGGAGGGCGAGGGGGCTGGGTCTTCCTGTGGCGCTCTGGCCGCGGCCGGGGGCTGGCTCAGGAGGGCATCTCCGGGATGGTGCAGAGGATGCAGGTGGAGAGGGCGAGGAGGAGGAGGGTGAGGGGGCAGGCTCCATGGCCCGGCCCCTGTCACAGAGTAGACTCCAGAGACGAGTCCAGGATGTCGTCGTGATGGCTGTTGCTGTTGGAGTCGCTGTCGTAGCTCTGCGGGCTGGAGTAGTTGGCTGCCTCCTGCAGCCTCATGAGCATGTTCATCTGGGGAGAGAGCAGGGAGCATGAGCAGCTTGGGGCCAGTCAGCCTCCCCAGCGCTGGCCTCTCTGACGCTCATGCCACGTCTTCCCGACTCACCTTGGGACCGTGGCCCACCGGGGAGGCCGAGGACAAGAGCAGGCCGTCTGGGCCAGGCTTCCAGAGTTCGAGTCTCGGCTCCACCACTGACTAGCTACGTGACCTTGAGCCAGTTACTTAAGCCTGCGCCTCAGTTTCTTCCCTGGGCACAGGTGAATACCTGTACCTGCCCTATCCCGTTATGGTGTGGGTTAAGTGAATCTATGGAGAGCACTGAAAACAGAATAGAAAGTCCTCTATGAATGTTGTTTCTTTTTCACTTGGGAGGAGCTCCTGACCCCAGCGCGGCCCTCAGCCTGGGTGAGAGGCCAGTCAGGCGCCCCAGCTTCTGGAGCAGCTGCATCAGCACCACTGACCTCAGAGCACGGGGCTGCCCCTTCGATGAGCATCAAGCTCACCTGTACTCCCGGCTCTGGCCAGAGGGCAGCCCGGAGGCCCCTGCGCCCCAGCTCCGGGCAAGGCCCTCAAGGGGAGCGGAGGGCAGCATGGGTCACACGCCGAGCCTCAGGGCGCAGGGAGGCCTGGGGTCCGGTTCAGGACTCTTTGGGCAATTACCTACCATATCTGAGTCACCAGTTCCTCACCTACAGACTGGAGAGAAGGGGAGCACCCACCGCCCCCAAGATTCAAGTAGGGAATGAAATGACCCTTAGAACAGGGCCTGGCATATAGTAACTGCTCAACAAACGTAAGTTTGCCGTCATCATCAGCTGTCTTCAGAGTTTAAAGATAACGTCCTTGAATGTCTCCTAGTCTACAGTCTATTGGTCATACGTGTGGGAGTGGAGACGGGGCATTAAGAACTACGTTTATTTTATTTACAACTATAAACTGTGTATGTATTTTATATTTTTTCTAGCGACGTTAGGAAGATAGGGTCTCGCTGAGCTATCTTCAGACTTGGTGCAGCTGGTCATGAAGTCCAGCTGCCCCTGGCCAGCCTCCCCTGGGCGAGCCCCCCCTAGGGTGTATCTGGGTGAGCCCAGCACGGAAGCACCACAAGCTGGGGTCCATCTGCATGGCGGGAACCGGGAAGGGGTGGAGGGCAAGTACAAAGGAAAATCCTCCACAGCCAGGATCATTCGTTCACTCGTCCAGCATTCCCTGTGTGCCCACAGTATGTGGTCTGGAATAGAAACAAGACAGTCCAGCCCTCCTGGAGGCCCCAGTCTCGTAAGGCAGAGAGATCCACGGACAAAAGGGCTATGACAGCAGAGGCCGGTGGTCCTGGGCAGAGAGGACAGGACTTGGGGGAAATACCGAGCACTTAACTTGGCAAGTAGGGGTGGCAGGGCTGGCATGGCTGACGTCTGGGGCCTGAGGCTGGAAAGAGAATTCTATGTAACTATTCAGAGAACCCCGAGTTCTACCTAAATGCCTATGTTCAGTCAGTGCCACAAATATTCCTGGTTAAGAAAAGAATGTCTGGGGACAAGCTGGCCATTCTTTCCTCTAGATATCCTCAATTCTATTTTTATGAAAGGTAAGACCTCATGAACTTGAACCCACAAAAATATCTCCATGCCTTTGGCTTTTAGCAACGGGTAACGTTAGAAGTGGCTTTTTACAGTCTGATCCTTCCCCCTGTACAACCATTGTTGTGAACACTGCAAATTAGGTTGTACACAGTAACGCAGACCATAAATCCATTTAAAATAAAGTTCCTGTAGAAAAGTCTCACTGGGACGGGGCTGCATGCCCCCAGTCAGGGGTGCAGACAACCCCAGAGCACCTATTGTGGTTATTTTTTCTTACCTAGCAAATCAGTCAGTCACCAGGGAGAGAGCAGCAAGTCAATTGTCTTTCACTCCTGCTGCATCTCCTACGAATACGTTCCTCCACTAGGTAAAGCAAGTGATAGCCTCTGCAGTGTTTTCCCTTTTGTCTTAGCCGCCAAGGGAGCTCAGGGCAAAATTTAAAGCATGATAATGGTCATTCAACCCTGGGATGTTCTGGTATATGTGATTCCACCTTCTTTTACAGGGCTTTTGATTTATTAGGTCTAATTTCCCAGGATGCCTATATACGGGTCTCACGCGGGCCAACAGTACCAGAACTGCAGTGTCACGGCCCCTGGCCCAGGTTCCCCTTAAAGGGCTTTTATTGGTTTGTCGGTGGAGTAAAGAAGCCCAGGCAGCATTAGAGGCTTAGCTCCTCTCACTGGCCCGGGGACCCGCATTCAGGTCCCTGCCCTCCCCTCTGTGTCCCTCCTGCCGGCAAAGCCCTCCCGCCCGAGCTCCTGACCACTTGGCCTGGGCTTCTAATCCTTCGCAAGCTGTGCCTCTGCTCAGTTACTAGTGGGAGAGATGAAAGGGACAGGACAGGGCATGATGAAGGTGGCACTCAAACCAGAGGGCAGGGAGTGGTGTAGGGACATTTAGGGGGAAAAATCAAATTCTTAACCTCTTACCTGAAAAAATTTCAGAGGGGTTAAAGATGTTAGTGACAAATTAAAACCAAGGAAGAAAATATTGGCTAACCGTCCTTAAATCTTGGAATGGGTCCAACCTTCCAAAGCAAGACCAGGACTCAGTTGCCTCCGATTTTCCAGCGTGCCTTGCATCACACCCAGCACACAGGAAGCACTCAGTGAACGCTGAGCTGCTCTGGAAGCCAAGAACTCACCAGCGGGTCTCCTTCAGCATCGCTGGGGGGCATCTGCTTGCTGGTTGACCCCTCCCGTGGCATGGAGTAGCCGTCGAAGCCGACATCCTCAGGCCGGAGCTGCAGAAGGGGAGGCCACTCGTGCTGCTGGGGGCTGGCTGCCCAAGGATAGGTGTCCATCACCCACTTGGCGGGATCCTCCCAGGGGGCCCGCCTTCCATAGAGCTGGAAACGAAGAAGAACAGTGAGGAAGGGGCCAAGACCTCTGCTGCAGCCCTGGTTTTGCAGCTTTTTGAAAAACACTCCAAACCCAGCATCAGGCTTCCATGCATGGAGTAATTCCACCTCCAGAATTCTCTCCTAAGGAAATCATCCAAGGCACAGACAGCGTGATGTGCTAATATCAAAGGCAGAGTGACCCAGGGACTAAGAGCACTAGCTTTGGAGTCAGACTGGCCTGGGTTCACATCTCAGCTCTGCCACTGACTGACAGTGTCACCTTAAACTCTAAGCCTTGCTGATCCAACCTGGAAAACCACCATCTGATTTGAAGCATTTGCCAGTTTCTGTCGTATAAATACTCCCAACCATGGCCAATCAGTTACTGAAAGTGGCGCTGGAAAGAGGTGCTGACTATCATCACACTGGGTGCCCCCCCAGCACATAGATGGGGTGCTGGGCATCAGAACCACAAGCAGAGGTCACCATTGGCCCTGGTTTGATAAAACTGCATTACTTGCAGTGAGTCTGACTCTCAGAGCCCCTCTTTAGAGGCGCTGTTCACTTTCAAAACAGCGAATTGTTAACCAGGGTTACATGTGGGTATTGGAATTCTTAGTGCTTCTCCTCCCCCATGTATTTCTCAAAATTGTCCATGACAATGAATTTGCTCTTAAAACAGATTTATCACATAATTCTGGAAGACAGGTTACCATGCCTCCAAACTCCTTTTTTTAAGCCTGAAACACCTAACAAGAAAATTATTTTAGTGACTTTTTCTGGCAATTTCCAGAAATATATCCACTCTTTAAAGAACAAAACCCTAGACTGCACCATTTCCCAGGGCGAGGCTCTGTGCATCACGTAGCTGCTGCCGTCTCTGGATCCTTCCTCGTTGACACCACCACTGCCGCCGTGCCTCACAGCTCACTGTCTGCCAGGGATGGCGAGAGGCACTTGACAAATCTCTGGTTTAACCAGCACATGACGTCACGAGGAAGCATCACTACCCACGCTGCTCAGACAGAGATAAACCCAGGGAGGAGAGGAGGCAGAACTGGAATCCAAGTCTGTCCGTGGACCACTGGAGTCCGCGAAGAGGAGGCAGGATGTGCTCAGAGCCAGGACAAGATGAGCCCACCCTAGACAGTGCTGCCTGTGGTTCTGGGAGGGCATCCTTTCTGTAGGGGACCACGGCGTACAAAGACCAAAGACCCCTGAACCACAAGACAGCAGGGGGCCTCTAGACTGGAATTACATCTAGACTACAGCCTGTCTGTCCATCTGTCTGCTCCCTCTGTCCTCCCAGGACTCTGACAGTTGAGACGGGAGAGAGGGCAAGGGGATGACAGGAGAGGAGAGCTGAGCTCTGACTGACAAAACCATTTCTTTCTCAGGTCAGAGACTGTCTCAGCTGCAGGGAACTGGGGTCACCTAGCCCAGCTCCCTCATGTATCAGATGGAGAAGCTGGCGCCTAAAGAGCCAGATGAGAGAATTTGGAGCAGAGGTGGCTTCGAACCCAGGATCCCAGCTTCCTTGTCTGGTCTTTTATTTCTCTACGTCTCCTGACTGACTCTACTCTGAACCACTTGGTATCAGCAAGAGCCACATGACTCAGCCAAAGCCGGAACAGGGAGATGCTGGCCAGGCTGCCCACCCGAGGAGGACTCGTCACCCGGGCTGGGCTTGCTGCCCTTCTGGCTGTCTCAAGACTGCTCAGCCACCTCTGACCTTCTCGTACCATTTCTGTCTGGGAAGCGCCTGCCCTTCCTGCCTTGCAGACGGGCCCGCCCCCCTCTTCATCAGTGGCCGCCTCCTCCTCCACTAAGACACACACAGCCTCCTATGACCTCATCGCTTCCAGACACCAGCGCCCCTCCCTTCTAGGGCTCCAGTCCTGCCTGTTGCTAAATCTTCCTTAACCTGGGGCAGTAGTGACTCAGGCCAGAGAATCCGGTCTGGTCGTCTAAAGGGAATCCACAGTCCCAGCAGGAAGGGGTCACACAAAGGCGCGTGGGCACGCGCGTGCGGGTCAGGGAGTGAGGGAACGCAAACATTTGGGGATGTTTAGAACTGAGAAAGTCCATTCCAAGTTCCTGAAGTTTTCAGAAGCTTCTCCCTCCAGGGGTTTCCCTATAGAACTCAATCGACTTTACCAAGCTGGACTTCACGTGTGTGGAGATGAACCAAATGTGAGGTTCTGACAGCGACGCATCTGTCTCCAGCCTGCAGCTGGAAGAGGAGACGCTCAGTGCTGCAGGACCACAGAGGCTGGAATTCTGAGCTCATCAAGTTCTGAGAGAGAGTCTGGCCCAGTGGTTTTTATGTTTGTGCTCTGAGTAGCTCGGGGAACTTTGGGGCTCCACAGAGCCAGCCTGAAAAATCTCTTCTAGTCCACACTTCCTGGATTACAGATGTGGAACCGAGGCCTAGAGATGGGAGGCCTGCCCAGGGTCTCAGAGCAGGTTGGGTCATCTGATAAATGTACCCCCTGCCCCTCTGCTCTCCCCTCTTCACCAGGGGGATGGAGGTCTTCTGAGTTACTCTGTCGACTTGAGACACTTTGGCAAGTGTTTACAATGACAACTCCAAAGGGGAACAAGACTGAGTCATAAGACAAAGACAGCCGGGCGCACCTAACATCATCTGCAACAACGGAGAATACTTTTACAAGCCTCCCCACTTGCCGCTGGATATGTCCAAGTCCAGGTGATGAATGGCTGAGTAAGTACCCTGGCAAGCAAAGGATGTATCATAAAGCTCCTTATGCACGGCAGAGCCCCGAGGCAGCTTCTGGGAAGGAGCTGTACAGACAGACAGGACATTCAATTTCCCCAAGGCATGGAGGAGCCTGGCAAGCCCACTGGGTCAGCAACAGGGAGCCTAGACATCAGAAACTGAAACCTCAGCTCCTGGGCGCCTCCTGACTATGAACATGTACATCACACATGTAGGCATCAAGGTACACATTCAGGAAGAACCTCCAAGCAGTTACACATACAGACTCAGGAAAAGACTCCAGAGTCAGAACTTGTAGGTATCTGGTATCCACTAGGGGGCAATGCCGCATCTCCTCCTGGCAAGGCTGTGCCTGTTGGAGGGGCTGACTGGAAGCTATGGTGATACCTGATGGCAGCAGAGTCTTGGTGCTGCCTACCTCCCCCCGGACAGCTCTTCCAGAGGTCAAAGCAGCTAAGCCCTTGCCAAGGTCATAAGGTAAGAGGTGGAGTCCCCAGGTCACGCTCTGGAAAGGCTGCCTCTCCAGCACGGGCAAGGACGTTCAGACCCCACTTTCACAGCCGTGCCCACAAGGCCTTCTTTTAAGTTGAGGTCCAAGGAGCTGGGCTGGCCTTAGCTCTGTCTATCCTTGGTGAGAACCAAAGGGGGGCATCCGATGTGTAGCTTGAGGCTGGAGCATAGACAGAACCCCTCCTGGTGAGTGTCTCCTTGGGCAGGAGGCCTTTACTCAACCGCGCCCACGACGTCTTCCAAGCACGTTCTTGGTCACTCCCCGTCCCACCCAGAAGATACATCCGGGCAAAGGAGCACGTGGGCGAACTGAGAGGAAGCAGAAATGAGGGGGCAGGAATGGTGCCGCTCCCCCACCTGCAATTCCTTCTGCTTCTTTTGAGACGCCTGGGTTTCCCAGGGGCGCCTGCCTTCTGCAGTCCTAGAAGCCACTGATGACAAGAGAGAAGGGCTTCTGAAAAGAAACAGAGCCCAAGAAGCCAGCAGGCGGGAGATACTTCCATTGGCCCAAGAAAATAGGGGTGACTGGGTGGCTGTTTGGGCTTGTGGTAGTAACAGATCCATTTGATGAAAGACTAAATAAATTATGGTTAATTTACCCAGGCCAGTGAATTTATCTACCTAGAGAGATTCTGCTGCAAAGATGTGAAATCTTTCATATCATTTAAAAAAAAATAAAGGCCACATTCGATAAAACAGAAATGCTGTCATCAATGGGGGAAAAAGGTGAAGGGGATTAAGAAGTACAGACTTCTAGCCGTGAAATAAATAAGTCACAGGGATGTAACGCACAGCACGAGGAATACAGTCAATAACACTGTAATAACTGTATGGGGACAGATGGTTAACCAGACTTTCCATAGTTTCATAATGTTTAAGAATATCAAATCACTGTTGTATACCTGAAACTAATATAATATTGTATGTCAATTATAATTTTTTAAAAGAGAAAAAATGCCACCGCCTATTAACAATCTTCCGACACTGCTAACTAAGGATTTGGGGCCAGTCAACAGACTCGCCTAATTTCTTGCTACTCTCTGCCTTCATAACCACTTATATTCGAACACGGTGGCTCGAATTTGCAGCCTACATGCTCCAGTTCAATGAAATACCAGTGACCAGAGGCACACTCTCTTCCTTTTCTAGCTCTGCTTGTCCTGAATGTCTCTGAAGGCCATCAGTGCTGCTGCATGTTACAGAGACAAAGCCGTCGAAGATGCGCCAGGCTCAGCTAAATGAGCACGAACGACCAGCCCGGACTGAAGCCATTAACGCGTACCGTCACACACGTGTGTGCGGGTGTGCATTACCACACCCCCCGGTCCACCAACAGCATCTTGTGTCTCCCACTGCCTGGTACCAAGGAAACAGCCCTCAGAAACCCGGCTGCTAAGCTGGTTCCTGGATGAGTCAGTCCTGCGTGATGCCTGCTAATTACTCAGAGTGGTGCTGAAAACTGACAGACTTCTCAGGCTGCCTCCAGGCTCAACAATAAAACTGTTATAAACTCCAGTTTACTGCTAAGCTCCTAATATTAAGCCCGGGGCTGAGTGAGAAGTAAAGGATTCGGGCTTTCCAGCTGCGGCAGGGCAGGAGGGACGGGCAGCCGCGTGCGGCCCAGGGTCACCTGTCAGGGGTCCTGATGTCAGGCAGTGAGCACCATGGGGCCGAGGGCTGAGAACCTGCGGCCTAGCTGCAAATCCCATATTCTTCGTGACCTTGGGCAAGTCACTTACTCTCTCTGAGCCACAATTTTCTCTTAAAAAAATGGAGACCAAAAAAAACACAAAACTCTGTCCAAGTCCGAGGACTAATGCAGAGCTTGAACCAAAGAGCAGCCGTGAGGAGACTCTGCAGAGTGTGAAGCGCTACCTGTTCCATTCCTTGTGCTCTCGCTACACTGAGCACTTTGCGGCCACGGCTTCACTGAACCCTGGCAACAACTGTCTGTGGTAGGGTGCTGTGATTCTCTCTCCTCCTGATGATGATACTAGGGCACAGAGAGGCTGAATGACTGGCTTAGGGTCACACAGCTAACAGGGGCACAGCCAGGATTTGCAGCCCAGCGTGTTCTATGCTGCGCTGAACGGATGGCTTCACAGATGAGGGGCTGTCACGACACGTCAGTCAGATTTCTGAAGGGGGAGAGAAAGACAACTCTTGTGGTCACTAGAACAGTCCCTCGAGCTTAGAGGCCAGCGGGCAGTGAGCTTCTCACCTGGAGTCCTTCTCTGACAGCTTCCAGGAGATAGGGGATGATGGAGTAGTTCCACAGGTCCGTGAACCACACCCTGGAACCATCCACGTCGATGGGGCAGGACAGGAAGAGCCGGGGCCCTGGGGACCACAGGGAACATCCAGTCAGACCGAAATGGGTGTGGCCAAGAGAAGCCGGTCCCAGCGTCCCTCACAGGAAGGACCCCGAACTTTAGGAGTGACAGCAGAAATACCAGCTGCCGGGTGCTGGGCACAGAGCAGGCCGCTTGGACTCCCTAACCCCACCTGGGACCTCGCTCCTCTGGGAAATCATCCCAAAGAGAGGAGGCTTTATGGAGAAAGATGTCCATTGCAGTATATTAATCTTGTCCTTTGAAAATGGAAGCACACAAAATGTCCAAGGGAACAGAAATGGTTAAGGAAATGATGGTACCTCCACATTCGATTACTTTGCAGAGCAACACAGAATGCTCATGAGACAAGGTAAAGTGAGAAAGTAAAAAGAACATACTGTGTGTACACTCTGAGTGCAACTACATAAAACATGTACGGACAAGGACGGGGAAGATAAACGCGAATTACATACTGCATCAGGATGGTGGGATGATCAGTGATCTTTTTTTTTCTCTGAAGCCTAAGCTTCAGGAATGTTGACAACATCATTTTATTTTTAAAGCAAAGCCAACCCCACAGGGTGGCTCCCACCTGGGGGAGCCCCGGGGTGGGGGCCCCTCCCTGAGCCGGCAGCAGCCCAGACCGGGCACCTCTCTCTGCTGCTCATCAGCCCTGGCATGCTGGGCAGGGAAGGAGGGGCGGAGACACAGCCCGGGAACGCGGGTGACTGGTGGCCTGGGGTCTGTGTGGGGCTGGGACTGTCCTTCTACCCCCTTCTCCATCCCTGTGGCCAGCGCAGCGACTGGCTGACTTGTGGCTGCTCAGTGCCGACCTGGCCAGGGCCCAGGACAGCCATCCGAGGAGGCTGGACCTCCCCACCCCAAGCCAGCCCGCCTGGCGCCCCATACCTATGGTGACGTCCGAGGAGCTGTGAGCCTCCAGGAAGCGGTTGAGGTGATGCCAGACCTTGGGAATCCAGTCGATGATTTTCACCAGCTCCACATTCCGCACCCGCCCACTGATCTCTGTCTCCATGAGCTTCCGCCTCAGGAACCGGCCCAGGAAACCCTTCACGGGCTCCGTGTGGTTGGCACAAAGCACCCACCTGGGGGGAGTCAGGAATGCTTTTCAGTGACAGCGACAATGGCTCACCTCACACACCCAAGCTCATCAGAGCTGGAAGGGGCACATATTAATGCTAAAACTGGACTCTTCTGAACACTGCACATTATACTGACTCACTGTTCCTCAGAGCAACCCTGCAACACAGATAAGGCCACCACCTCCATTTTACAGATAGAAATTCTGAGACACAGACAGGTTACATAACTTGTCCAAGATCGAACTGCCAGTCAACAGCAGAGCTAAGATGAGAACCAAGACCATCCAACTCCAGGGCCTGAGCTCTAACCACTGACTCAGCTGCCCCCTGTGCTTGTGGCAAGTCCTGTGCTGGGCTGGGAGCTGTGACAATGACCGAGACACGGTTCCTATTCCCCAGGAGCTCAGTCTAGTGGAGGAGGCAGATAAGTGGAATGAGACATGATGAAACCCAGGCAATCAGGGAAGGCTCCTTGGGGGAGGGGATGTCTGAGCTGAGACCACAGGGGATGAACAGAGCAGCCATGTGAGGTGAGGTGAGGTGGGCAGAGAGCAGGCTGCAGATTTGCAGAGGCATGAGAAATAGTCAGAGGTTCCGTGTACCCAGAGTTTAGATTTGACCTGCTAATCCAAGGGGCCTGGATTTCATCCTGGGGGCAATGGGGCCACTGAAGGACTTCACACATGAAGGTTTACAGTCAGATTTGAATTCTAGAATGTTCATTCCAGTGGGCATTGCCACAGAGGGTGGCCTGCAGGGGGCTGAGGTGCAGGCAGACATCCTGGTTAGAAAATGACTGCAACAGTGCTCTGGGAGAGGATGAGCAGTGACGGGGGAAGAAGGAGGAGAAAGGACCAGAGGGACATTCAGGAGCAAGCATGGACAAGACAGGGACAGCCTGGATGCAGATGTGAGCCGTGGTCTTGGTGGTCTTAGTGGCCTGGAGGAGACAGTACTTCTCTGATAATTACAATTCAGGTCGACCTTCAGCAGAGATGCCCGCAGAGTAGCCATTGAAAATGGGCCAGGGGGTCTCACCCAGGAGACGGCTGCTCACCCTCATCTAAGGGCCCAGGCAGGAGAGGAGTATCTGGAGTCAGCTGGGTGTCAGGACAGGGCAAGAGGCATTTAGCGACGGCAAGGCGAGTGGCCACACGACCTCGCATGACACCCCGCTGCGGGAGAGCCCGGTTCGGGGTTAGGGCAAAGGATTCACAGCAGCTGGAGCTTGAAGGCCACAGACACAGACCTCGCTCCATGGGGACCTTCCCAAGCAAGAGCTTTCACTGCTCATGTCCACTTGGGATCAAGAGATGCACCACTGGTGATGGGCAGCATTGCGTGCCTCCAGCCCCTGCCCAGAGCTGCCGCTTTGGCACCACTAACCCAGAGCTTAGAGTCAGGGACCTGGGTTCAAGTCAGCTCTGCCAGTGACTGGCTGCGTGACCTCACACTTATGAGTCACTTCATTTTCCTTGTTTGTAAACTGAGAAGGATAAATGTAAGGACTTGAGGCTGTTGTAAGAATCAAGTGAGCTAAGCTGGGAAAAATGCCCATAGTTCCCAGCATGTAACAGGGACTCAAATAGCGACAGCTTACCTGAAGTTATGATGTAGCTGCAGGTTGGGAGTGGAAGAGGTAGCCTGGTTCATTGTGCCAATTATGTAAGGGCTGTGGGAGAGATGAAGGACAAGCAGCTGTGGGAGGTCTCTCAGCGCCCCGGGGCGCCTAAGTGTCAGCTGAACGGCTGCTGGCTGCCACCCCCGTGCCCCCCATAGCACACGTCTTCCCCGGGGCCGGGAGGTCCAGAGCGGCCTGTACCATTTGTGGTCCTTGCAGTTGAGTAGCCCATTGAAGATCTCGCCCAGGGAGCTGACGTGATGCAGGTTGTCCAGGATGATGACCAGAGGCATGTCCACAGCGTTGTTCTCACTGGCACACTGGTCCGCAAGGTTGGACAGGTACTGGCGCAGCTCCTGTGGAGGTCGGGCAGGAGCAAGTGAGTGAACACCCCCACGAAGATGGAGCCACGTATGCTCGGGGTCTTCCCTCTGCCTGGCCAAAACTGGCAGAGGCCCTTCCCCAGGCTGCGCGGGAAACACATGCTGAGGGCCTGCCTGCTTCAGCTTGGGCTCAGGAGACTTGGGCGGGCAGGGGAAAGGAAGGCCTGGGTCCTGCCTTCTGGAATTTGCAAGGTAACAGCAAACCTTCAGCCCCGGGCAAGAGCATGGCACCGCGGGGGTGCCCAGACATGGCTGTGCACCTGCTCTACCACTCTCTAGAAGTGCTGTCACTTTTCTTGTTATTTCTTATTATGCCAACCTCCCAGGAAGCTCCTGAGGGCAGGTGCCTCATACGTCTCTGTGCATCCACAGTACTACGAGCCGTTTACACTGATGAATCAATACAGCGAAGACCTCCTCCCCTGCCCCCCGATGCACATGCGTCCTGCTGATGAGCGCTGGGGCAGACGGACAGTGAGCGGAGCAGGGGGCGTGGTCTCCTCATACAGTGGGCCTTGGGAAGTCCAAAGGGTAAGCTCTGACCTTAACTGTGAAGAATGGGTGGCACATTGTCTGGAGCTGGAACTAGAACGCAGCCCAGCACAGCTGGGGTGAGGGGTGTGCCAGAAAAGGAAGGGAAAAAAGAATGTGCAATGGGGAAAGGCCAAAACAGTGAGCTAAGGACCAGCGGTGAAGCCAGAACAACTGCCTGATGGTATTATCATGACAATGATGATGGGCGTGACCTTGTGCCAAGTACTGCTCTAGGGGCCTCACACATAGGAACTTCTGTGGCCCCACGATAAACCTCTGGGGTGGGTACTATGATTCCATTTTACAGATGGGGAAGCTGAGGCACATCCAAGTCAGGTGACCAGCCTGAGATAGCACAGCGGGTCGGCAGCAGGGCTGGATCTGGACTTGGCACCTGCCTCAGGGTATGCACTTCCCCATGGCAGACTGTCCTGCATGCTGGCCTGGTTGCTTGGAATGTCCCATCTCCTCTGCTTCATATAAACACATAGATACACCCAGGCCTCCCTTACAAGTCAAAATGCATTTTGTAGCAATAGAAAAAGCCCAACTCTTCAAGCCGTACACAAAAATAAACTCAAAGTGGCTTAAGACTTAAATGTAAGACACTTAGAAAACAGGCAAAACATTCTCTGACATGAATCACAGCAATGTTCTCCCAGGTCGTTTCCCAAGGCAAGAGAAATCTAGGCAAAAATAAACCAATAGGACCTCAGCAAACTTACAGGCTTTTGCACAGCAAAGGAAACCATAAACAAAACAAGAAGATAACCTATGGGCTGGGAGAACTGGGAGAAAATATTGCAAACTATGCAACTGATAAGGGCTTAGTTTCCAGACTATACAAACAGCTCATACCACTCAGTAACAAAAACCACGAACAACCCAATCAAAAAATGAGCAGAAGATCCATATAGACATTTTTCTAAAGAAGACATACAGATGGCCGATAGGCACATGAAAAGATGCGTAGCACTGCTAAGTGTGAGAGAAATGCAAATCAAAACTACAATGAGGTATCACCACACACTGGTCAGAATGGTCAGCATTAAAAAGTCCACAAACAATAAATACTGGAGAGGGTGTGGAGAACAAGGAAACTTTCTATGCTGTTGATAGGAATGTCATTTGGTGCAGCCACTACGGAAAACAGTATGGAGAGTCCTCAAAAAACTAAAAATACAGTTTCCATATGATCCAGCAATCCTACTCCTGGGAATATATACAGAAAAAATTAAAACTAATTTGAAAAGATACATGCACCTTAATGTTCACAGCAGCACTATTTACAACAGCCAAGACATGGAAGCGACCTAAATGTCCCTCAACAGATAAATGGATAAAGAAGATGTGATACACACACACACACAATGGAATACTACTTAGCCATAAAAAGAATGAAATAATGCCATTTGCAGCAACGTGGATGGACCTAGAGATTATCATACTAAGTGAAGTTAGGCAGAGAAAGACAAGTAACATATGATATCACTTAAATGTGGAATCTAAAAAAATGATACAAATGACCTTATTACAAAACAGAAACAGACTCATAGGTATAGAAAACTTATGGTTACCAAAGGGGAAAAGGGGGAGTAGAGGAGGGAAAAATTAGTAGGAGTTTGGGATTAGCAGATACAAACTACTATATATGAAACAACAAGGTCCTGCTATATAGCAGAGGGAACTATATTCAGTATCTTGTAATGGCCTATAATGAAGAAGAATATGAAAAAGAATATGTATGTATGTATAATTGAACCCCTCTGCTGTACACTAGAAACTAGCACAACACTGTAAATCAACTATACTCCATTAAAAACAAAAAGAAAAAGAAACAGCCCAACTTTTAAAGTTACCAGTCATTTTTCCTTCTTTTAGTTCCTCTCCACTGTGGGTTCATGGCCTCAGGCACCTGACAGAAACAGGACTCCTGAGGCGCGGAGCCCTCCCTCCCTTACGCAGTGGGGTACGGTTGGGGAGCTGTGCTCTGTATGAGGCTGCGCAGCTGAGGGGAGGGAGAGTGGGGACTGAAACCCAGCCTGGTTCCACGCCCAGTCATGTGCCTGGGAGCCTGCTCTCACTGGTCCTGAGAGTGAGCCTTCCCTGAGCTTATGCACAGAGGACCTCGACACAGGGGTTCTGACCGCTCCCCTCTAGTCCTGCCTCTACACCTGAGTCACTTGGGGAAGTTGTGCACGGCGTGGATCCCCGGCCCCACAACCCACTGAGAGATCATCAAGGAACGAGGTCTAGGAATCTGCATCTTCAAGGACGCCAGGTGACTTTTCAGGTCAAAGAATCACTGCCAATTCACCTTTGACTCTCCAGCCCCTTTGCAGAGGGCCAGGCAGAGGGAATTACCCAAATCCCACTGCATGGATAATAAACAGGTTGGAGAAAATACCTCACAACCCTAGGCTGGGACTAGGTCAGACTGTCCAAATGTTTCTATCACTCCCTGTGAGGCAGGATGGAGCCTATTTGCTGGCTCTGGGGTCTAAGACATCGACTTGAGCTCCAGTCTACTGCTTAGGACCATGTCAGTGGGCTTAGGTACATGGCCATCTGCCTCGGGCCTCAGTTTCCTCCTCTGTAAAATTGGATCGTGACAACTATTCCCTCAAAGGTACTGCTGTGGGGTGGCTGGTTTGCTGGTCCTGGGGCAAGCATTCTATAAATGTGGGCTGTTGTTCTTACTGTTACTGTTGTTCTACACAAGGAGGTTTCATTTTGGAAAAACAATAGCACCTACTAGGCACACGATAAATTCCTGCTGCTCTGAAGTGGATGCGTCTGGGTTGGCCTTAAAGTACTGCCATCACTAAGCATCATGCCTGACCCACAGTGAGGAAGTAAGAAATGAATGACCTCGACTTACAGACGGAACTTCTTACTGGGAAGTTTTGGGTCAAAGCCTTCCTTTCTGCTAGTTTCATTCTGACCTCCTTCTCTAGGCTTTTAAAACCACCAAAGGTGAGCATTGTAGGAAATGCTGCTTTGCCATCAGGGTGGCGGCAGCATCAAAAGTTCTGAAAGGGCCAAAAAGTGACCCGTGGCTAGGAAGCAGCCTCCAAATGACCTCCTCACCTTGCTGGACTTGTGGTCCACGTTGAAGGTGGCGATGACCCCGTCTGTCAGCTCCCGTCCCTCCCGGAGTACCAGGTACTCTGACAGCCGGTTGGCCAGGTAGGTTTTCCCAGTGCCGCTGGGCCCAGAGAGAATGATCCGCCGGTGTTCCACCAGCAGGGAGACGTAGCGCTGCAGGATGGGCTTGGGGATCAGGGACTCGAACACCAGAGAGTCCAGGCTGTTTTCTGCAAGCCCTGCATTTGAGAGAGACAGGAAGTGTTTGCAGCCCTGCAGAGAGGGTGGGTCTCTGTGCCTGCTCACCTGGACTGCCAAAACCTGAAGCCAGCCCTTTCCCGGGCAGCCCCCTCATCTGAGACCCCCGCCCACCCAGGGACACCGCAGGCTCCCTGCTCACCAGCACTGTGTGCTCTGGCCCTTGGCTTGGCTGACCTCCTCAGACTCAGATTCACCTTTAATATCTGGACCCTCTGTCCTCATCCATTCTCTGCACAATTCCTAAGACTAAGAGCCCTGCTTGTCTGTCTGGATTTACCATTACCGATGGTATTTGCTAAAACTAACGTGAATCTCCCGTGTCCACCCGGATCCTGGGGCTGCCTCTTTACCCTGTCCTCTCCTGCGTGCCAGGTGCACTGCTGCCCACACTCATGGACCAGGAAGGTAGCAACACTCTTATCGTTAAAATGAGGAAAAACACAAGGATTCAGGGATGTGAATACTGGAAGACCTAGGCTGCAATGCTACCTGCTGAGACCTCTGAGCCTCAGCAACATTAAGAGGAAACATCTTTCCCCGTCCCCCCCAGGACAACTTCATTACTCAGTGATGTTGCCTTTCTTGATATCACTGCAAAGAGAGGATTCAGTCAAGGATATTTGTCCAGAACCTAAAGTAATTCTATTAAATAAGCACCTCAAAAAACCAGTATATGATTCAGTATCTTGTAATAACCTATAATGGAAAAGAATCTGAAAAAGAATATGTATATATTCTATATAGAGAGAGAACACTGAATCACTTTGCTGTACACTTGGAACTAACACAATGTGGCAATCAACTAAATTTCAGTAAAAAAGATAAAAATAAAAATAAATTTAGAAAAAGAAACCAGTATATGTAGGTAAAAAGTAAACTGAAAAGCATTTATTGTTTTATAACAGCATCTTCCATCCACATAATTATTCACTGCAAACAGATCCTCCTAATGCATCCATATGCTTATTTTCAATCCTCCACAACCGAGAATAGCTCCTGAATGCAAGGACTGTTCTAGGATCGTCCTGATGAAGGATCCCAAATGACATCTTCTGGGTACAGGTCTAAAACTTTCCTGGAAGTGGCCTCAACAGAGCCTACGGTGGCTCAAAGCTCAATGCCAAGTATGGAGGGTGGGGTGTCCTGTTGAAACTTAATAACAAACATGAGGTGGGAATTAAAACTCCCTGAAACCGCTCTCTCAGCATATATGTGGCTGTTTTGGTCTCTTGACATAATCCGCCCCCCGGGGGTGACTACTTTGCAGACCGACTCACTTCAGAGCACCCAAAGCCACAGCCCCTCTCCTGGTTCCACTGAAATCAGTCCTCTGCAGCTCACGGATCTCTTTCAGCTCAAATCCTTAAGTGGTTTTTAGTGCCTTGAAGGCCTAAGTGTCAAGTACTACCAGAAGACAGAAGAGTCGTGTCTTGATTAAAAATAAACCTGCGCCGATCCCTCCAGATGCTAAAACAACCTGATGTGCCGACCCAGCACCAGATCCGGCTCTGTGGTGGGGCGACCTGTTCCCCAGGGGCAGACGGTCTTGTCGCCGTTTCTGCAGAGGTCTGGTCTGGTCTCTGCAGTGGGGCACTCCTTTCACTCTGTAGGGCTTGCAGTGCTCACCTACTCATTGGCATGGGTAAAATGCAACGTAAGCTCATGATGGATCCAGCTTTCCTTACAGGGTTCTTGGAGTGGACAGTTGTGGTCAGGGTGTGCTCGCCAGCCCTCCTTCCTCCCCCTTCCAGCAGGACTCTTCTTTCTGATACGGAGTTCATTTCAGGTGGTTCCAGCAGGGCTGACCCCACACCTTCATCCACCAGGGGGGAGGGCTTGTGAGCACCTTTTCCTGGTCACAATGACTGATTTGGTGATGGGCATCTGACTCACCTAAGAATCACCTCTAAGAATTTTTCTCTCGCACTTGTCCAGAAAGACACTCCCTTTTTGCTTCCTAAGCTAGCAGGATGAATCAGGGCCACTCATCAGCCATGTGAAGAAAGCTCAAAAAATAAGCAAAGCTGAGTGAGGGAGGCCTAGTACCGATGGCACTGCTGGAGCACCTGGATCCAGTTATGCCTGAAGTATATTCTGGGATTTTCCAGGTACCTGAGCCTATGTTTCCTTTTTTTTTTTTTCCGCTGAGTTTTGTTTTGAGTAGGTTTCTGGCATCTGTGGCCCGAGGCCACAACTGTGGAATTCGACTCGCTTGCAAGATAAGGCTTGTGTGAGGCTCAAACAAAAATATGCCACCTGTCTATGAGGCTCAAACAAAAATATGCCACCTGTCGCCAACAGAGTGAGATAGTCATTCCTGCTGATGAGGAGCGTTGGGGGTGCTTTTGGAAAACCTCCCAACCAGGAAACCAAACTTGTATCAAACAATCCCCAAGCCGCACTGTTAAATCTACAGCTGAGATCAGTGTCTTACAGAACAGAAACAAGACACCTTGAAAGTTGAGTTTATCAGTCTGTTCGTTCTGTGTCTATCATTCTGTTCCGCAGTGCTCATCAGTCTGTTCTTTAGGTGGTTCATAAAATACAGGAAAAAGGAGTTTCTGGTCAAATACATCTGTGTCAGACTGGATCACACACAGCCTGCTCAGCAGCTCTAAGAGTTAGGACACTAACAGAGCCTTCACAGAGTACCAATACACGCCCGCCCCGCTGCCTCCCAACCCGGATGATGGTAATGATGCAGTTTCCCAGACTTATTTGGCCATGAAACTTTTTTTTCCCAAAATGCTCTGTGGGCCTAGAGTTCCACAGAACCCACTCTGGCCTGGGGCGTAACGTCTCTAGCTGATGAGCCACAGGAAGCTCCAAAGCATCATGCGCGGGCAAGAGCTCCAGCATTTCCTCAGCGTGCTCCTAGCAACCCCTCACTAGCCTACAGCAAATCATGCTTTCCCCATCTGCAGAAAGGGACCGAGTCCAAGGCTCTCTGGCAAGAGTAACTCACCAGTATCGGCTGAGCCCATGTCAACAGGGTTATTAAGATTCCATCACCCCAGAGTCATAAGGCTAATGGGATCTTTTGTTATGTAATTTCAGCAATAAACTCTAATTATTTGTACCTGACGGAGGTCGGAAAAGCTAAAGACTGTTCAGCTTGCTTAGGTAAGAGTAACTGTGGCGGAAGAGAAAAAAAATACAACCCGCAAACATGTGCCCCAACGCAACCGCGGCCACGGTTTCCTGTGCCAAGTCACAGAACAAGGACTGCGGCTCCCAAAGCTCCCCGTCTGCGGGCGGCCGGCGTACCTTTGACAGCCACGGAGATGGTCGTGTTCTCTCCGACCAGGTAGCCGCAGGGGAGGAGCTCGGGGGTCTCGGAAGCGTTGCTGCGTTTGATCTCCCCAATGCTGTAGCCGAGGACGCTGTCTGAATTCAGCCCCAGCTGACTCACCGGATCGACATGAATGATGTATTCCTGGAAAAAAAACCAAAAAACAAAATAAAGACCCCGTCAAACACGTGGCCAAAAATCTGCCCGTGACTCATGTTTCCACTGGGTGATTTACAGTCACCTTCTCCTCTTTCTCAGCTGATGCCTGAGTTGAAATACCAACACTGTGGAACGAGGGACAGAAGAGCTGACTTTCTGTAGGGATGAAGCCCTCATACCACAGGCCTCTTAAAATACAGATTTATTTGGTTAGTGATGGTGGTATGGGGGTGGGGGATGGGAAACCCTAACAGGATGGTGGACGTTTAGTCTGGATGAACCAAGCACGGAAATGTTAGCCTGCCTGTCCTCTAAGTTCAGCTGAAGTCTTGAAGACGTCAGGGCCTGTGAGTGGTGCTGGAAGATGCATGAAAAAGTAATGGACAAGAAATCTCTCTACCAGCCCCTTCTTTTGGCTCAGGTCAAGGCCCATCCTATTGACAAAGGGAACAAAACCTGGGGCTGCTAGAAAAAAGCAACTCTTGAGTTCTAAAGAAGCCAATGTGTGTGGAGTTTGGAAGGTGTTCCCTCTTAGGTGAGTGACCAAAAGGTTGTAGGTCATTGAACTTGCAATGAAGGTCTGTGGGTGGAAGGCTGATAACAAGCCTCTCCCTTTAATGGCCCCATTTCCTCATGTGTGACTCCCCACAGAATCTTTTTGTCCAAACTGTTGTCCTTCTAATCCAAAGATGTCCAACTGCACACCAGCAGAGATCAGGTTTAGGCTGGGGGAGCAGACCTGGGCTGCCCTAGGCCATTCCTGTCCCACACCTGGTCACAATTCTACAGACTGGCCTGCCAAGACAGGGAGCAAGCTTTGATCAGACAACAGAATTTTGTGTGTGTGAAGGCTCCTGAGTCTAGATGTTAGGAGACTGGAGTGCACTGGTTAGAAGTCAGGTTTTGAAATCAGACCAACGCAAGGAGACCAACGTGATCTCTGGCTCAAAAAATGTGGGCCATTATTCGTACTCAGGGGATGTGATTAATGAACATTTCTGGTTGTTAACCTATTTCAAGTCAATAGAAAAAATGTACCAAAAGCTTCTTTCAAACCACTTAGTATGTCAAGGTTCACCTCGATACTCATTAGTTTTTTCTCCTGTGGCAAACACCCACTCCAATGATGGGATTAGAATGAACAGAAAAATAACTATGCCAACATCTTTGACACTGGCCGTGGGTCAGAAGTCAGTGTCACCTGGAGCGCAAATCGCAGACTCTGAAAGTGTTGGCACAGGACGCCGGGCAAGTTAGATCAAATCCTCTCCCCTCACATGAAGGAGGGAAATCTGATGTCTCAGCCCCAGCCACAGGACACACACTGCAAAACATACTCAACAGGACACAATTCTAAGGTGAAGAGAGAATGTGGACATGAGCAGTTCACCATGAGAGGCTCAAATAATTGCTCAAGGCCAGGCAATGACTCTTACTGGCTGGCCAACCCCTGCCAAGGGCAGACAAGAACAGTTGTGCCTGTTCCCAGTTTGTACTTACCTTCCTCCTTCTGTTCACAGGTCCCAGCATCATAAGGATGTGGGAGAGGGGACAGGCCCGAGAAATGACCAGGTTCTGGACACAAACCTCCCTTTCCCTCCCTAAGTCCAGGCCCCCGCTCGGGGAGAGAGACCGGCACAGCCGTCTTCATGAAACACTTACTTTGAACAGCCGTCTAACCACCCCATCGAGCACATCCCACTTGGTCTTGCCACTAACGCCAATGCAGCCAATGAGAAAGAGGTGTGGTCTGGAATCCTAAGGGCAAGGAAATGTATGCAGGTGAAAAACGGGTGGATCTCTTCTGACTCAGTTTAGCAGAGGACTCAGATTATCTTAGAACTCCACCAGTGACTTGAGAGGGGAATAAAATTCCTATTGTTTTAATACCAGCTGTGACTTAGATTGAATGCTACAGTCTTAAACACTCTCCTCCTCTATTGCTAATACAGCAACCTGTGGGTCAGGGAGAGAGGATCTCCTCTCTGCAATCTAGAGCCTTCTACCAAGCGTGTACCCTGTATAGTGTGTAGACCACACATCCCTTGCATGGAATGCTCTCCCCTTTCTGCTATCCCGTCTTTCCAAACTTTGCTTACAAACTCACCTCTTCCAGGAAGCCTTCAATGATTAACCCACCAGGCTCAGAGTTCATACCACTTCAATAGTTCTGTACACAATTTATATGATGATATACTCTGCACTCATTTATTTTTAGGTATTTCTGTCTTATCTGTCTATCAAGTTTGTCTCCTTGCTAGATCTTAAACTCCTTCAGGATAGACTATGTTTCTATTTCTTCTTCTTCTTCTTTTTTTTTTTAAATAGTATTGATTTCTTTTCTTCTAATTAAAAGTTAAAACATGCTCAGTTCAGAAAACTAGTCAGACTCCAGAAAGTTCACAATCATCTTTTCCTACTTCCTTTGTATCTCTGGCCGCAGGGCTCTGCATAGTGGGGGCTGAATGATCATAATGATTAAAGGCAAGCTAATAGAACATTCTATCGTGTTTGATTTTAAAGTATCTGACATGCTCATAAGAATATACAATTGGGAGAGTGAGGGAGGTGGGAAGAGGGTGTATTTGGCAGTTAAGCAGAATCAGTGGAGCAAAGAGCCGTGCTGTGAGGTGGTCTGGCCCCACCACTTGCCTCACAGCCTTAGGTAAGTGATGCTTGGGTCTTGGTTTCTCAACTGTAAAATGGAGATCACACCTGGACAACCAATCTCATCTGGGTGCTGGGGTGGTCCAGAACAATGCAATTTTTGAAAGCGACTCAGACTCAAACTTTTGTTAAATATAAGATCTGTTTGTGCTGATGATCATTAGAATAAAATGCATTCACAAGTATCACTTGCATTTGTTAACAGAATGTTCTAAGAACAGATTTCCCCTTGATAGTTTATCACTCTGCTAGCTAAGCTCTGAAAATCAAGCTATTTATTGGATCCTTTAAGCTAGGTGATGCTCAAACCCCTGGCAGCTCCAAAATCCTGGGGTTACCCCCTTCAGTGAGTCTAGACAGCCAGCCACAGAGAGGCATCCCTTGGCAGAGAAGTCTGGCTGCAGACGCTTTGTTCTGGAGGGCACTGCGGGCTCCCTAGCTGTCAGAGACAATACTAGCATGTTGGCTAGAATACTAAGAAATAACAAGCAAACAAAAAACTCAAGGGGACGTAAATTAGGGACTCCTGAGTCTTCCCAAGTATCTGAGAGATGGTCATTTAGAGCATCATTTGGATTTAATCAATGACTAAAAATCGACTCTGGTTGCCAATCCCCACCCATACCCTAAGACAGTTTCTTATAGGGGTACGAACTCTAGACCCTGGAAGAGAATAGAACAGAAACTGCTCAGAAAACTCAGGACCGCCCCCCTCCAGCCTCAGTGAGTCAGGACGCCCCACCACCTTCACTTCGAGCCTCCCGTGAGCTGCCGGGCTTGGCCACCTCTGTCTCCCAGCATCTACCTGGTCAGCAGCCTCTGACAACTGCTAAAACTGGTGCTCCTGGTCGGCTGAATTTGGTCTTCTGTACCTTCTGTGCTAAATGTGCTTAGCTACCTTTGAAGAGCTTTGGGAAGAGATTAAATTCAGAAAAGCCATCTCTGACTGATGTGAGTGTTTAGTTAGTGACATGAAAGTGCAACATGGGCCATCTTTAGGGCTCTTCATAGACGTTCCAAACATAAGAGACAGGGAATGGCCATTGGCTCACTTCCACGTGTCGAAATGCTGCCAGGGTTTAGCGTGAGTTAGGGAAAGCGTTAGTACTATTTCCGAGTCCCCGCAGGCTCCGAGGTGGTAGGGTGTAAGGATGAGATCGCTACGCTAGGTAGTTCTACCTGGCGCAGGGACAGGCAGAGCAGGGGGAGGGATCCAACTAACCTCCTTCCACTTCATTTCCTCCTGAAAGCTGACAACTATCTTAACATGCCTGCCTCCTTCCTTCCGAGCCGAGCATTCACCAGTGTCATCCAGCAACATGTCTGCGAATGGAAAACATCAACAGCCTTAGGCACGTGGGGACAGCAAAGCCGGCTTCCTGACACCCCCGCCGCCTGTCGGCACAGCAGCGGGACAAACCAGGTGTCGGGGTGCGGGGGGGCGTGGGGTGGGGGCGGGGGAAGGGGCGAGGGCAGAATGGAGGATGCAACCACAGAAACCAACAGTGGACCAACCAAGGAGTCAGCAGGCTGACGACGTGCCTTGCCAAATGGAAGTGCGAGGGAGACTCAACCGAAATGCTAGCAACAGCAGCATCATGGAGAAGAACTCAAAGCGTCAGGCTCGATGTGCTTACAACGAAAACCTGGATCATGGTCGCTAATTACCACACAGCCTGGAATCCAGCCCGAAGGCAGGAAGGTCATAAACCAAGCCACTGCCCAGGTGGGACCGGCTACCATGGGGTGGCGGGGGCAGGGGTTGTATGTAGCATACAGCTTGCAGGTCAGCCTCTTAAAATGGGTCAAACAAAACTCAGCATGGTGGGCGAGGGGATCCAAGCTCACAGCCTGGAGAAACTGGGGCGCTGGAGCGAAGCATGACAGCAGTCTAACGGCTGGGCTCATGTTGGTAGCAGACGCACACCCAGACACACGCACACCCTAAGTGCACACACGCTTGCTGCCTCTCCATTTGATCTGCTGCTCTGCTCATCCTGGGGCTTCTGCTTAGAGACCAGAGTGCCTGCTGCAGGCCCGGTGACACCACTCACCCAGGCTGCTTGACTCGGCGAGGTTCAGGCTGTGCTGGGAGAGGCCCATGGACTGCCTTGGGGAGGCAGAGAGGGACACCTGGGAGGGCGCCCGGCTGCAACCACTGCCTTGTGACTCTGACTTCAGCCGGTCATTCTCAGCTTTCAGCTTCTCTATTTCACTCTGCGAAGGGTAAGGGAGAAGCTCACTTACTAGGTGGACATAATGCAAAAAAGCCTTTTATGGAGGAGAGATTTAAAAGTTCCCTGCAGGGATCGAGTGGGTATCTCAGGCGAGAAGGAGTAAGTTACACAATCAGAGAGATTCAACAGTGTCCACTGCCCTTGCTGGATACACAAGACCTCACCAGCAGGGGAGGGGCTGTCTTTTCCGAGACCTGGCCTTTAACAAGACCTCAGAAATGTCTCCCAGAGTCTGAGTGGAAGGTGGAAAAAGTCTTACCTGAGAAATTTGAGAAACTTTGGGTTTCTCAACCCAGACCTTTACTGCGGGACTTCTCAGAACTTTAATGAGTTGGTATATGTGTTGTGAATCTGAGAGGGGCAGTACTTCCTAAACATATTTGATCAAGGTGCTTTCCTTTCACAGAGTTTCTCATGGAAAGTGTTCCAAGGAACCTCCCTTGGGAAATTTAGTAGAACTCACAGTGCTCTTTCACTCTCTGAATATTTATGAAGAACCTACTGTGTGTTAAGCACTGGTGCTACATCCAGAGAAAGGGGTGCAAAATAATAGCTCAGAAGACTCAAAAGCCTTCAATCCGCAGCAGGAGAGAAGGGCCCTACAAACCAATCTGTAGGAATTTAGGTCAGGGCACTAACTCTTGAAGCTGTAGGACTTGGAAAAGCTTTGCAGAGGAAGAGGCATCAGGCTGGGCCTTGAGGGAAGGGTGTATAGAAGGCTATCCCAGTGGAGGGAAGAAATGAAACAAATTCCTGGGGCAGGAAAAGGGGGCCGTCGGTGGCTCCCTCTGGCTGGTGAGCAGAGTCTGGAAGGTGGATTTGGGAGTGGGTGGTAGAGTAAGAGGACAACGCATCCTGTAGAAGCCTTGTGGGCCAGGTACAGGAGACAGTGCTGCAGGCAGGAGGCTGTGGCGGGGAAGGGGCTTGGTTACTCTTACACTTCTAAAAGATTGGCTTTGAGCAACAGGGAGGGCCTATAAAGAGAGCAAGGCTAGGAAGGCAAAGCAGCCCTCGGGCTTGGTGGAGGGCACTCCTTCCCGGGCAGCCTGGGGCTCAGTCGCGCTCTGACTCTCACCTGCATCCTGTTCATGGCCTCCCGGAGCTGGTCCAGCTGGTGCGCAGAGCTGAGGGCTTCCAGGCGGATGTCGGTCAGCTTCATCTCCTTGTCTCTCAGCTCGTTTCGGAGCTGCATGACCGTCTCGGCCTCACTGTCCATGCACTCTGAAATGCTAGAGAAAGAGGAATGTTACCGACCAAGACAGCTCTGAGCTCCGCCCCTTTTAGTCCCCCAATGACAACCGCTCCATGTCCATCATCACATTTGTTCAGGAGTAACCCTGTATGACCAGCTGCCCCGTGCTTCCTGGGGGTAAAAATATCAAAGCACTTGAAATTCACAGACTTTACTGCTTCTCTACACTCTCTCTGCAGAGCTCTGGCAATCAGAATGGCATTGTTGCCCCTTTCAGCCAAATCCCAGTAATCTAGGGATAAAGAGGAGCCTGCGGAAGGGAACAGCAACCTTGGGGCTTTGAAAGCCTCTGTGATGTGTACACAGCTGGGCCCTATGCTGACACAACATGGCCTCTGAGATCTAAACCCACTCAGAGAAATGATGACATCTGTCTGTTTTTAAGATTCGACACTCCAGGGTCAGACAGCTGAGGGTGATACTTGTTTGCCAAAAAGGAGAAGAAACCTGAAGATATGGGTGGAAGATGCTAAGTCTGCTCCTGGACACATTCTAAAATCCACTCCCCTAAACGGGTCTAGAGAGCAGTCTTTCACTCCCCCACGCCTACAACAAGCTCACAGCAAGGAAGAGAAACATCTTGGGTGGTCAGAGAGTAAAAAGGATGATGGTGACATGGAAGCCCAAGTTTTATCTGAAAACATGCAACAGCGCGGCGAGCTGTCCTCCTTCTCCAGCTGGACACCAGATCAGGGGACCGCAGGACCCCGTGAGTCCCTCTGTCTTGAGAAGTGGTCCTTCCAGGCTGGGTCCCTTATTTGATTAGTTAGGTTTGCTCTTTTGATGTCTGGCAGGTCAGCACAAAGTGGAAGATCGTAAAAGTCATGCTAAATTGTAATGTTAGAAAAGTTAGTTCTATTTTATAAGAAAAGCTCTGTTGATTTCAAGGATTATAGGAGCTGAGGTGAGCGGTGATCCAAAAGAGAATGCTTTGACATTTCTTGGACTGACAACAGAAAAAAGAAAAAAAACAAAAAAACCCAAGTCCATAAAGTTACAAAGCTGAAGCTGATTATCTCTGAAAGGCACGGTGAGCATGTGGTCTCTGCAGAAATAGTCACGGGAGACCCAAGTACTGGATGTGAGGCCAAATCAAACCTGACATGTGAAACTGGTAGAGGGTGTGGAAACGCTCACTGCCAAAGGAAAAGCATTATCATGGTTAAAAGAGATGCAATTGTATTTCGGGGGCAGAGAGGACTAGAAGAAAAATTTAACATCTGAACAGCCAAATCTTTTTGTGGCTGTTTTCCCAGCCTGCACTTGAACTGCTGCGAGAGTTACAAAACCACCTCTTATTTTCAAAAGTTGTCAGCAGCCAAGGAAACTTCTCCTCTACTTCAAAATCTTCTAACACTTCCAACGGACTCTTTCAAATCTTATAATTCTTCCCACTCCTATAAGAAACTGAAGTCAACAGATTTGGGGCTGAACTGTCTTTAGAAATCAGATCATCCCCCACACAGATCTCTGCGATGTGAACAGCCTGTGGTTTGGAGGGTTTAATGACAGTCGTGCTTTTTTTTGGTTTGGGAGGTTTGCAGGGGGAGCATGCAGAAACTGGTTCTTTCTGGAGAAAGGACTATGGTTTCCGGGTTTAAATGGAGTGTAAAGTCTGAACAAAGTTCCACGGTGACATTCTGGTCTTAGCCAAACCATGCCCGGCACAGATCTCAAAGGCTCCAGTCCACCGCAGAGAACCGGCTTTGGTTCACACTGTGTCAGTCCGTCTGTCAGTCCACGGCGAGGCATTTTACTGCAGTCTCTTTCACCGGGTCTGTGCTTTTTCCCCAGGAAGCTTTCTCAGCAAGAGAAGCCACATTTTCTCAGGACCTGCTTTCTGGAATTTACCACATGGGTTACTTTGTGAAGCTTGGCCAACGATGACGTCACAAAGGGAAGCAAACTAGAAGGAAGAAAGTCTGTGTGGGAGTAACTGCACCAAGGGTCCTGGACCCTTCAGTTCGCCCCTCAAATCAGCCAGTTCTCAGAAACCCACAACACAGAGGTGATGTTGAAAACAAGCCCCAACTAAGTTAGTCCTTATGCCGACTGCCCAGGACGGAGCCTTTGCCCCTCGTTCCTTCGGCACTATACTTCTGCTCTGTCACTGATAACTCCTCCCTGCCTGGCTGCTGGCTCCCAGGACCAGGGTTCTTCTCTGCCTCATTTGTCGTGTCTGATGTCACTGATCCACACGTAGCAGGTGCCCCGCAAACGCTCACTGAACACGTAGGCCACTGTGGTAGGCATCTGCAGTACATATTTAAGGTACCACGGACATCACTAACTCCAGGAAGTGGTACTGCAATGACCTCCGTTCTAAAGATGGGGAGGCTGAGGCAAAGAGACTGACGTGCCCACAAGAAATGCCAGAATCAGAAACAAATCTGGTGGGTCTGCTGAACCTGAGGGCCCACGCTCCTGAACGACGACCAGCAGGCACTCACGTTCGTCCTCTCCATGGGCTACGTACTGAAGCAGCCTGATGCTCACCACTTCCTACTCAGTCCCTAGCACTTCATTCCAGCACATTCCCGCCAGTCTTGCGCAGGCGGCAGTGCTGGTGGAAGACCTAATTTTAAACGCCCGAGTATGGGAAATGCTGCCTTCCCACACCGCCATTCCTTCCACCCACGGAGTAGGAACTTTTCTGAGCCCCAACTCCTCTGCCTTTGGTTTCTTCTTTGAACTCTGTCTCATGTCTAGATCTGCACATTCTTATAAACCCTTCAAGGTTGGAAAGAAGCATTTGCTTTCTGCCCACCCTTTGGAAAACCAGACCCAAAACAAACATCTGCAGTGTGCATGGATGCTGTGGAATGTCAGGGAAGGGCTGCTGAGCCCAGAGGCAGCCCCACCCAATCCCGACGGGGTAAGTGGTTTGGACAGAGCGCTCTCTCGCTGTGGTCTCCAGGAGCCCCATGTGGCTGAGTGCATCATGGCCACCCTCCCCTTGCCTCACTTGGCCACTTGGCATTTGGCCTAGTTACTACTCCCGCCTCCAAACAGTTTTCTCTCTGTCCTGGGTTCCTACCCCAGAGCTCAGACCCTGCCCCTCTGCCTCTTCTCCACCTCTATTCAACCCCTTTGGAGAATCCCTCCAGCTCTGGGATGATGGCATGTGAGTCAATGATGGCCGGTCCCTTACTTGCCTCCTGGGCTCCCTGCAGGTCACATAGGACTCACACTCCCGATCACTGGCCTAACCCCTCACACCAGCACACAGGGCAGCTGGAGGGGCACTGCTGTCCAGCCGTCAGTGCTCCTCTCCCCTGACCCCTGTTTACACCTTCGCCCAAAGCAGAAGTGCCTGTCCCCGTGGCCACCCTCCTACCAGAGTGCTCCCTGAGAGAAGAGGAGCTCCTCATCTGAGTAAAATGGAGACCCTGATGTGCTGCACCGGCCAGTGGGCTGATAAAAACATCAGGGCCCTAGGCTGTCTCCTCATTTCCGCTTCCTGTCTCCTGTGTGCTACAAAGGCCTGGCTCACCCTCTCACCTGCATTTCCTGCACTCATCTGGCAAGCCAGCCTTGGGACACTGGCACAGGCCGCTGTCTTCAGCAGGTGGGCTGGCAGGCTGTGTGGACCGAGGAGTGGCCCCACAGAGCTGGCCTCCTGAGGCTGAAGGAGGGCACAGCAGGAGGCGGCCCGGCGTGCACAGCACTCAGCCGGGCCCTCCCAAGACGCCAGTGATGCAGATGTCATTCATCTCATGCTCACCAGTGAGGAAATGGAGGTGTCTACCGCCACCCGACTCCCTTGCTCAGCCCTCTCTCAGAGGCTGTCCTGAGCGCGGCGCCGTGGCCCTCCTCTCCCAGGCACTGTCTGATCTCGTGGGAACTGCCCCCGCAGACTGCTTGGCTCTGGTCTTCCTTCCACTTCTCACCTGGCTCTACCAAGGTCTCTGGTGGGATTCGGCCCCGCGGGGAAAGGGCAGTCGCTTTCACTGCTGCCGGAAGCCGGCCGTGTCGCCTTCTGAGCTGGCACCTGGATCCCCGCCTGTCTGTCCCAAGACATTCCTGACCTGTTCTTTTTTTTTTTTTTTTTAAAGATGTTTTCGGGGGGAGGGTAATTAGGTTTATTCATTTATTTAAGTGGAAGTACTGGTGACTGAACCCAGGACCTCATGCACGCTAAGCATGCACTCTACCTTCCCCTCCACCCTCCCCAACCTATTCTTGCCTCTAGAGTCTGGGCTTTACGTTTTCAGATGGAGGACAGGGCTGTCTCCTATGACCCTGATGGAACAATGATCACTGGGCACTCAGTGGAAACCACGGGAGGTGGGCTGGGCACCTTGGTGCCAAGGGGAACAGCATCTCAACCAATGTCAAGTGAGCAATCACCTGTCTCTCTCAACCAGCTGTGTTCCTGAAGAGCTCTGTACAAACTGACTCATTTCCAATTCACTGGGAGAGGCCACGGTGATGAATCATTCTATGAAACAGAGAGCCCTTCGCTAAAGAGAACCGCCACTGAATCTCTCCGTTTTTTTAAACTTCCAATTTCTCAGCACTGACCTCAGAGAAAGAGTCCACACTAAATTTTGATCAAAGAAGAAAAGTGTAATCTCTCTAAGCCGTGTCACCCAAATGAACCAGAATTTCAACCCAAACTGCCAACATTTATATCATCATCTCCCTGTCACGGCTGTAGCTTTTCACATCCACTTATCTTGTTTAATCCTAGGATAGGATAAGTAGACAACAATTATCCCAATTTGACAAAGCAATGGAAACAAAGAGAGGCTAAGCCGCCTGCCCAAGACCAACCAGCTAATTATCCACACTGATGCCAGCAGAGCAAAAACTCGAGTTTTCTCTCTCTTTCAGCGTCCCCAGTCCTGAGCCACTGCAAGAACACGCGTGGGCCGGGGAACCTAAGACACACAGGACCCAAGGAGCAGATAGATACAGCATAAGAGGATCCCTGGCCATTCCTGCTTGAGAGGGTTCCCGGGGCCAAAGACGTCGCCTGACCAGAGTGACCCCGGCAGACAGACTTACAGAGAGCTGGAGTGAGAGGTCCTCAGCAGCGGGGTGGAGCCCGCGGAACCGTTGTGCGGCAGCTTTGGTGAGGAAGGCAGCGAAGAATCCGTCATCTCCTCGATGTCCGAATGAGAGGACGCCGACTTGGGCGACTTCTTCTTCCCGAAGGCTTGCTTGAAGGAGCTGCGCAACTGAATACACGAGACCGTCAGCCTGGCCGGGGCTGCGGCCGACACTCAGGCCTCGGCCAGAGGCATGCAGACCGAGGAGCAGGCCGCTTCTCCCGCGTCCTCCCCCCGCCGTGGAAAAGGCTCCCGACAGCGCTCTCGAGTCAGTGCATTAAGGGAAGAAGAGTTATCTGGTGTTGACAGCTCAGAGGACTGGACCTGTGGGTGACATTTCATGCCTACTCTTGGGTCGAGGCTAGATGCCCACTGCAAGACAGAGCCTGGCTCAGCGGACGGATGTGGGGAGGAGGAGGTTACGCAGCAACAAGGCGGGGTGCTCAGACACGGGACGGATGCGGATGAGGTTAGTCATATCAATGGATGGGTTAGCTTGGTATCTGATATTAAGGTTGGTCTTGCTTACCTCATTGACCTGCCAGAGAAAACGCAAGCAAAAATGGGGAAGGGGAAGGAAAAAAGACAATTTTTAACAGAGAAAGCCAGTGACAGGGAAAGCTTTGGACTTTTTAGACACCACGTGGCTAATAATAAATACCATACACAGAGGAGGTTTCTGGTAGGATCAGGAGTCTTTCAAAGCATTAGGGGCCTCTTCCTCTATTACGGAAGGTGAGGAGCAGCGGGTCTGGAAGTTCCCCTATAATCCGAGCTCCGCTAGCTTCTCTGTCTGGTTGAAATGACCGCCCCACCTTCCTACGTTCCCTCACTCTTTTCTGGCCTCTTATCAGACATCCCTAAGCCATATATATATACATATACATATACATATACATATACATATATATATATTTGGGAGGGGGGCAAGCCTTCTTTTCTCAGTGAGGGTAGCTTTATTGCTGCACTGGTCCTAGCAGAGCTGCGTAGCTCTTTGATACATGAACTTAAGGACTCCTGCTGCCCTTCTACATGTATAAGATAATATAATAAAAGCAGGGAGTTAGCCATCTCACTTGTTGCTCAAAAATGATATTTTAAAGAAATTTATTAACCATATTGGGAAAAGGTAATTGGTATATCACAAATTCTCCAAACCATGAGATAGATCTGAAAATTCTAATAAGAACAGAAAGATTTTAAAGCGCAACGTCTTCTCTGAAAGCCATGGTAAGCATGTATTTTTCTAGGCCAAAAAAATAAAGTTTCATCTTGAAAAAGGTCTTTTAAAAAGTAATGTCCTTTTTCTAAAGCCTCTTTTCCTCTGGAAACATATTCTGGGGGTTGTCTTAACCACTGTAAAGTCCAGAAAAATGAGCCATTCTGAAATAATGAGACGTTTCTCCCAGCAAAGTTTCATTCATAACAAACTGCATGTCCAGCTTGTGGGCAAATCTAGATCCCATTTCTCTCGCATTTCTTACTTCTGGCCATATTTCCAGACAGCAGTAATAGAAATAGAAAGGTTTGGCACCTGAATTCCGGCCTGTACCTCTGGTAAAATGCTAGGCAGAAGAGATTACAAAGATGAGACAAAATTCAGCTTTGGGATTCTCTGAGGATGCCAATTATTCATCCTCCCCAATTGCACTGGTAATCAAGAGTTGTCTTAAAATAAGTAAGTTCTATTTCCTGAATGGAAGAAAATGGCTAATCACAATTTTTCATAGAAAATAGTTCTCTCTCATCACTTTGATAATCAAATCAGATTATTTATCAACAGCATATTAGAAATAGCAACATGAGTTAATTGTATTGGTTTGAGTCATAGCAAATGAGTTGATTAAAGCCATTAGTAACTTAAAGGAAACATTTAATCAGAATGATGAGAGGCTTACACTGAACTGGCTTTTGAGCTTCCCTGCACTGTGAGTTATCAATAACCAGCACGACTAAATGCTCAGCTCCTCCATTGCTAGACCTCGCCACCCATCCAAGATAACGCAAAATGAGTGAGAAGGGTATGGAATGAATGAGGACATGGAAGCTACTGTGAAAACACGACGCTGTCAGCTTTGACAAACGGGGCCCTGTGAGTACTGGCCAACTTCAGATCCACTTGGGGTATCCCTGCACTGAACTCAGGGAGAAGCAAATGCCAATCAGAACTCCACAACCTCGGTAGCAAAGCTAAAAACTGGGGGGTGGAATTTTCTAAGCGGAATGGGAAAAACTGTTCAAAATGCCATTGTAAAGAAAGTCAAGGGGCTCAGTGGGATTATGGAAACATGGAGAAACACTGTACTGGAGATTGGTTCTATTCAATTTGCCATTTTGAGGCTGAGCCCCGCCCCCCAGTTGAGAACCATTCACTGACCGCTAACAACCACACTGTGAAACTTTTACTTACAGCACAAGGTCAAAAACTTTTCCAAGAGAAGGGTGATTTAATGCTATCATAGGCAATTGTGTAAATAAATAAATAAGGAGTATGGATCGTGATGGGATAACCAGCGACGCACACTCCAAAAAATACTTTGGAACTAACTAAAAACCACTTGAGAGTAACTGCTCTAGGATCTGGGACTTTGTGGCCAACATACGATGATGAAGACATGACACATACGGAATGAAAGATGAGTGCTTCACGTAAAGTCTCATGAAACAAAAAACTACAAGGAGGTGGTTATTTCCTCAATCCTGGCGTTTGGCTGAGCCCAGCACTGATTTTAGTAGAAACCTGTCCACAAACCACTTCTCTGGATCGACTCCCAAAGGTCTGTGCACTGAAGGGAAGAGCCAGCCTGGGCTTCATCCGAGGGGACGCGGCTTCTGAGACTCGCCTCCGTGAGGCAGCACCCACGGGGGTCTGGGGATGTACTCACCCAGTTCTTTCTCTTCTTTTTCTTTGAATCACTCTCTATGTTGCTGCCCACGCTGGAGTGGCTGGTGGCGCTGTTGATGCTGGAAACACTGTCAGAGGAGTGCTGTCTGCGGATGCGGAGGTCTGCGGACTGGGAGGTACCATTTCCTAGAGATCCAGGGCAGGAAATCAGGAGCTGCTGACTTGGGGAAGGACCCTTACACCTAAACTCACACAGTCGAGGATGAGGAGGTATTTCCCAATTAGACATCACCTCCTGTCCCTCAATGCTAGTTTTAGGGTCCTCGAATAAGTGGGTGCTATGCTTTGGTCAGTTAAAAGAGGGCTCTCTCCATTTTACAAAAGTCAGAGGAGGCTTAGAGAGAATTCCCCCACACCCGCTCCCTTGAGCCTTAGACGGGCGCTAGAGTGTGTTCCTGAGTTGCAGCGACAGTCACCTATGTTGAGAGCACCCCCTCCTTTGCTCTGTCCGCTCCTGCTGCACCAGCCTCCTCACACATCCACAGAAATGCCAAGCCCATCTCCTCTCAAGATTTTCCAAGTGCTGCTCTCTCTCTCTCTGGAATGCTCATCTCCCTCTGCTCTGCCCTCCCATGTCAAGTCCAGGCTTTTTCAGGAGGCCTGATGTCTGAGGTAACAGTGGTACCAGAAATAACACTGCCCGAAACGGCAGCAAGACTGAAATAAAGTTTGCAGACAGCATTCCTCATAATCACAGCACGACACTGGCCATCTGGTCTTTAAGAGCACTGGTGCCAGGGTCAGATCTGGGTTCTGGCCCCACTTCTGTTTCTTACATCCTATGACCTCAGGATGGGACTCTCGCCTCTGAAGCCCAGTGTTACTCTCAGTACAAAGTGAAGAGGACCCGTATTGCACACATAAGGGTGTTGAGGAGAGAAAACGGGATAATTAAATAAGTGCAACACTGAGCGTGGTGCCGAGAACACAGCATAGGGATTAGAACAAAGTGAGTGTTCATTAAATGTTAGCTCTCATTATTACCATTAATATCATTTTTGCTGGAGGTAACTCATCCTCAGGCTCACCTCTGTACCCGGGCCCCCCAAGGAAGATACACAAGGACACAGCAATTTCCTCCGAAATATTTTCTGGGACAAATGAGAGAAAAACCCATTTCAGGTTGCCCCACATCAATATGTGAGTATGGAAGCATTCGTGAAGTTAAGGCTGTGAAACACTTTGACATTTTGCCAAGAGAAATACATTTTCTTCCATTTTTGAGATGCATCAGAGGAGAGGGCGAGCTGGAACAGCTGTCTTCCTGGAGGCCGGAAGGAACTGGATTAAGTGCTTTCCAGGACCTGTCCGAGTGACACGGACACCCACCCTCTGGCAGGGAGGCTGCATCGTACGTTGTCAGGGGAGGGTTCCTACGGGCGGGCAGGCGGCTGGTCTGAAGGCTGTTTCTCTGCCATTACCTTTGCAGGTGAGCTCCGGGGTGTTAATTACTCCATTAATGGCAGCCTGGGCAGCTGCGTTCTGCTTCTTCAACAGCTCAATGGTTTTTCTTAACTCATTCAGTTCTGAATCCTGAGGAACAGAAAAAAGTTACCGGTCATTCCCAAAACATTCCGTATAGTTTTCCGCTGAAGCGCAACTCAGTGTCAACTTAGAGGGGAGAGAACCTTTGTCTCAAACACTAGGTTGGATCAGTTTTCAACAGGCATCCGTGAGCAGCCAAAAGCGGCAGGAACAGGAGTAAGATCTGTTGCCGATGGAGTGACCACCACTCCGTCTAGGACGTTTCTGTCATGCAACAGATCTACTCTTTCAGATTTAATTCCTACAGTTCAACAAGTATACTAAAATCTATACAACTATCTGGAGTCCAAGAGAACAGTGTTTTTAGGTCTGTTGTTAATTCCAAGCGGGGAGGGAAAAAGCATCCTTTCTGCTTTACCTTCTGCTCAGCCGTCATGGTTAAGCTCTGGAGCCTGATTGTCATGTTTCCAAGACTCTGTTCAAAGGCTGCCACGAGGTGAGCCTGGAGAGGAAAGACATTTCCCTTCCGTTACCTTCAGTTACATTACCTCGCAAGGCAGGAGCGCCAGGTCTTAAGACTAAAATCCGCCCAGGGCCACGTGTGTGAGCCTCCACCTACTTCTTCAGCCTCTTGAGCCCCGCTCCCCACGACTCTTTGGGATCCAGTTCCTTGAGGCTTTCATGTCCTCCAACACCCTGGGCTCCTTCCCACCTTAGAGTCTTTCTGCACGCTCTCCTCCCTGCCTGGGCTACTCTCTTCCCATCTGCTTCTCTAATTGATTTTTACATATTCTTCTCAAGAGCTCTCCGTGCATGAATTCATAACACCCCCAGGCGGGGTCAGGTCTCCACATTCACTCTCTAAAGCACACTGGATTGCCGATCTGTACTTTGTAGTATCACACACAAAGTACTTGTGATGCTACGAAGTCTCTTGTGATGGCTGGTGTTCGCCTGTCTCTACTACACGGCAGGATGACCTTTTGTTTCCTCAGCACCAGGCTCACAGGAGAGGCTCACACTGAGCCTGTTTGCAGGATGAATGAACCAAGTGGATTTTGCTTGTTATAATCCTGGTTAATAAAAAGCCACTAGAAGGCCCATCTGCTACCTCCTTAGAGAACCTGTCCCCCTCGGCAGTTACGACTTTCCCTGGGGCCCCCTTGCACTTTCATACACCTCTATTAGAAGATGGCATCGGAGACACCGTTATTTTACATATTACAAAGACGGTTTTTCAAATGCTGCCAATTAGAGTTAAAATATGCATCTAATTTTCAGAGATGTTAAAAAGCATGTAAAAAATGAATATCTTAGAATTGAGAACCGTGATTGTTCCCCGTCTGCCCCTTTCTCTGCAACTCTCTTTAAGGGCAAGATGCAACTCTTTGTCTTGACACTAAGCCTTCTTCCTTCTTCCACAGAGCAGTAGGTGAAATATTAGTTGGTTCACTGAGGATCCTGATAATATTGTTGACACCCAGGATAAAGAATGGACAAGTCATCTAAGTCTACTGGCCTCAGTTTCTTCATCTATAAAATGGGGGCTACCTGTCTATGTTCCTCCCAGGGTGACTGTGAGCACTGAATGCAACAACATAGTTGAAAATAAACTGTTAAGGAACTGCAAAATGTAGAAATGACTGGAGACCATGGGGAAAGGAAGAGGTTTGGGAATGAAAAGTGACAAAAGATGAGAACATAGGCGAGGTGAGGTGACAAAAGATGAGACACCTATGAGAACACAGGTGCAGAGAGATTGAGAAAGGGTTCTAGGAGCCGGGTGGATAGATACTCAGAAGGTCACGGGAGGAATCAGAAGGGCCAGCAGGATACTTGAGTCTTGAGAGAAGTGAGATCTGATGGTTCTGTAAAGTTCTAGAGGAAGAGGTGACTGATGCAGGAGTGAGGGAGAAAAGCGGAGTAAGTGTGTAGGGGAGGGGCCATCGCCCTGGGCTGCGAGCTGGGTCTGGGTCAGGGTCAGCGGACATTTCTGTTGGAGGAGGAGAGACTTGAGGAGTGAGTTACTCTGTTACTAGATTTCATCAGGCAGGAAGAGTTAAGGGTAAGACATCTCTAGGATCAGCCGTTGAGTCTCTTTCCCGACAGCCATAGGAGCTGGCAGGAAGCAGGGGCTCTTGTGATAGAAATGTTAAGTGGACTGGTCAGTTTCTTTCCGATGGCACATCCTCCCTTCATTGAAAATTAAGAAAATGCCTTTGTGATTTAAAATATAGAGATACACTTTAGTCTGCCCTGGAGAATGTGGCAAAACCAAAGCCAATCAATTCAAGAAGGCACATAGTAGATGAAGGAAGCGAGCCAGGACAGGGATGTGAAAAAGGACAATGGACACCCTTGCCTTTCCACGGAATGACAAGGTCAAATTTAAATGACCGAATTTCCATGTATTGCAATTCTTTGTTTGATTTCACCCAAGATTCTCTTTGTGGACATTCCTAATTTCTCTTCAGGTAAAAAACAAACAAAAACAAAAACCTGACCCCATGAAGACTGCTATGAAGAGACTGTTTTTGCAAATTCAAGAAGAAACCACATTTGCTCTGAAGAACTAGAGGATCACATTTTGCTGCCGAGCAAAAGGACTTGGGGTCCTGAGTGCAACTTTAAAAATACAGGCTGAGAGGCTGTTCAGAGCCTGGTTCAGAGCCACAAAACAGCCTTCACGTCAAGCACCATTCTCACATTCCCAAGGAAAACAAACACAAGTGGTAAAAAAAACACCCAGAGAAGGTGGCTTTGAGTAGTCTGTCCTAGAAAAACAAACACAGCTTGGCCTGTGAGAAAGATGGCAGACAATAAAACATGCTAGCACTGCTGGCCGTGTGTGGCAAGACTAAATATTTACTTTAAAACAATACTGGATTCAGTGGCTTTGGTGAAGAGCAAAACACACTTCTGGAATAGTAATAATAATGTAAGGGGTCTCCCTTATTCTTCTGGAACAGAGAGGAGAGTTCCAAATGGTCTGATGTAAGGTCCCTCAGGGCAGCATGCGGTCATCGGAGGAACTGATCCAAGTTCATGGATAATTAAATTAATTACTATTTTTTGATTAGTACAGGGCAGCAATTGACAGCTGTAATTCTTAACTAAGAGGGTAGTTCCAAGTCACCTGCTGTCCAACCTCACATGTTCCCAGGAGACCCTGGCTCATTGGGCCTGGGCAGGCTCTGGATTTGAATGGATGCATCTGGTTACCGAGAAGACAACTACCCAAGAATACCTCTGCTCTTCTGACTGGGATCTAAACCTCAAAATTCGGATCTCACAGCAATTTCTGATCTTCTTTTGATAAAGTTACTGACGGAAAAAAAGGTTAAGAAGATAAAGGATTACAAAACACACAGCAGCCTAGTATATTAGGGTTTGGGGAAAAAAATCAAAGATTTCAGGAATGCAAAAGAATGCAGGAGAATGAGTAATAGTGCAAGTAGCTACCGATCACTGAGTTTGTAATCAAGGTCAAGCATTGTGCTAGGCACTTCATGTGCAGACTTTAACGTGCAATGGTTGCCTTGAGCAGACCAAGGCTCAAGCCAGGAATTACCTGGGCGAAAGCTCCAGGTAAATGTTAATTACCTTCCTACTTCAAAGAAGGCAATCTTTCGAAGCTGCTTTTCATTTTACCAGCATGCAGGGGTCATGCAGGTCCCTTTCTGACAGGCTTACACACAGAGCCTGTGGTCTCAGGCTGGGCTGTGCACACCTGAGTAGGAAGCCTTCCCTCTAAGGTATCTTAGCACCTTCCAAAACCTCAGGCTCTGCCTTCTGAGCTTCAGCCCTGGCTGGCTCATGGCTCTGCAGCAAGGCTCCTTTATTCATAAACTAGTCTGATGGGATATGGAGATCTCTGCCCCTACTCTGACCCCTCAAATCCTATACTCACACCGCAGTGAGGAAGCCACCCTAACTACATCACTGCTCTGCTCATAGGGCTCCGCTATCCTCCACTGGAAGCTCAACTCTCCACCTAACAGCAGAGACCTCCATGATGTGGCCCAACCCTTGCCCTTCTTCGATGCCTTCCTCCTTCCCATTTCCTTCTCCCCTCTACCCTCGGCTCTTCCCCACATCCAAGACACAGATTCTAATTACACCAAGCTATTTACAATTTCTAAACGCACCAAGATCTTCACCTTGGGCTTTTGCACCAACTACTCTCTTTCATTAGAATGCTGTCCTTCCCATGCATCCTCCCCTACACAGCATCCCTCAGAGGTCACCTCCTCCAGGAAGCCTTTCCTGACCTCCCCCTGCCTCACCAAGGCTGTGCTAAGTGCTCCTCCTATCTATTCCCACAACCTTCACCCTTTATTTCTATCATAACAGTTATCTTGTTATAGCAAAACTGTTTTGTCTCTCTGCTGTACCAGAGAGACAGCACTAAGATGACGGTGACTGTGCTTGCTTTGCTGAATTGAATTCACAGTGCCCAGGGCAGAGTTGGCACTTAGACAGTTGTTGAATTGAACGCCAGTTGGCAGTGTCTCTTGAACACGTAATTGTGTATATTATAATTACAGAGCAGTCAGATATTTACTGTGGCGCCTTAGATCTCTCTTTTTTTTTCCTCTTAAGATGAAAATTTTCAGAGAAAGGGAAGAGAAAGGAACATTTCTGAGCACTGAATATACTCCAGGTACTGATCACATGACACTCCTGAGAGGTAAGTATTATCATCCCCCAATGCACGGACGAGCAAAGGCAGGCCCAGAAGTTAAAGAATTTGCCCAAAGCACAGAGCCAGTGAGTGTCCGAGCCGACATCCACACCCACGATGCTAAAGCCTGTGTCCTTTTTATGACACCACATGGCTTCTATAATGCTCAGAAGGTAGTCGTGGGCACCGCCCTTGGTCTCTACTCACATTTGCTGTCAGCTGGGTGGTCAGAGCTGAAACCTTCTCCTGGGAGGCATCCAGCTCCCGCCGTAGTTTGCGAATCTAAAGATGACAAGGGACAGAGTTACTTGCCTTGGGAGTCCACTTCCAGGTTGAGCTGGGCGAAATAATTGATAATCGAGAAAGGAAACCAGCAAACTGTTCCTTACCTCTGACTGGCATTTTTCTTCTGGCTGTAAAGAAAATGGAGAAAAAATCAGATCAGCCAAGGAACAAAGAAAAGCACATCCCAGCCTGAAGGGAGCACCAGATTTGATACTTCAGCAGTCTTGAAGACTTACTAGTTTCTTTCCCAGTATACTTTCCTAGACTGGTTTAATTAATTTGACCAATCAGAAAGGCCAAATACAAACAGCATATTTTTTATTTCTTTGTTTAATTTTATTTTTTGTTGAAGTGTGGTTGATTACAATGTCAGTTTCAGGTGTACAGCAAAGCAGTTCTGTCTGTTATTTACACACATATGTATACATTTTTTCTTTTCAGATTCCTTTCCATTATATGTTATTATAAGAAATTGAATATGGTTCCCTGTGCTATACAGCAGGTCCACAAACAGCACATTATTTTAAGAAATTCGGAAGAATAAGGAAATACTCTAGCTATTTTGGTCACGAGGAGCACTCCTGCTCACACATGGATATGATGTTAGGGTCTGGCACTCAGGAGAAGGTGTGATGAGAAGAGAATGAGCTGGGGCAGGGCTATCAGATTTAGCCAATAAAAATACGAGACACCCAGTTAAATGTGAATTTTTTTAGTTTAAGTATGTCCCGTGCAATAGTGGAGAAATATTAATGCTAAAAAATTGCGTGTTTTTATCTGAAGTTCAAATTTAACTAGGCATTCTGTACGTATCCTGGCAATCCTACCTGGGGGGCGGGGAGGACCGCTCACAGGCAAACTCTGCCTCATTGTATCCCCCCTCGCATCTCCCTGGGGCACTGCAGCAGAAACAGCAGCTGGGCAGGAGGGCTCCCCCAAAGTGAGGGGGGCCGGGGGCGCCTACCAGCCAGCCTGCTGCCTCCCCAGGCTGTAAAGGATAAATGTGGCCTGCACCTTCCTGCTGCTCTATCTCGAGTCCCAGTTACCTGTGACCCTGAGGAGTAAGGACGAAGCCTGTAGGCCCTCTTACTGGCAAAGCCATCCATACGGGGCCCTGGGTCTGTGGTGTCACAGCAATCTGCCAGCCAGAGGCTACAAGCCTCCCACAGGGGGAGCCCACAGGGGAGGGGGGAACCTGCTGCAGGGGGAACCTGTCATTCTCTCTCCTGGAGTTCCCTTGGGGGCCATAAAAGAAGAAACCCCAACCCCGCCACACACACATTCTTGGGAATGCTGGAAATGTTCCTGCCTCTGTCCACACTCCACCATCTGTACCTCCTGGGGTGGAGCAGTGATCTGGGAGCCAGGTAGGTGAGTGAAAATCAGTAAGGACCCGGTTTTGTCCTTAAGTCCTCTCTGTGTGTCCTAATCCAATTTTATTAGTGATAAATCCATTGTTTTTAAAAATCAGCACCTGACTCTGGTGTCTACTTCTCTGTTAGTTCAGAATGCAGAGGGGTATGATTCGTTGGGCCCCACAGTCCCTATACCCATCAGCTGGGACAAGAGGGTTGCTGTTTCCTGTCTGACCTCCCTGCACATCCTGCTCCCTGCTGCCCTCCCTCCAGGCCGGCTTCCAATCACAGCAACTAATTTTTAGGTACACTGTAGCCAAACCAGTTAATCCTTGCAGTAACTCCACAAAATAGGTTTGTATTCCTTTTGAGGCTCTGAGAGGTTAGGTATCTTACCTAACGTCACACTGTAGGACAATCTCCTCATCTAAGAAACACCTTCAGGAGAAGGTTGGAAGATGTCCTCACATGTCCTTACTCTTCCCTCTCTGATAATTTTTAGCCATCCCTTTTGGTCTGTCTGCCTGTCCATCAATTCATCCCTACACCACCACCTATTAAATATTTATTGATTTCCTATTATGTGTCAGACACTGTTCTAAGAACCTGGGACATAGCTGTGAACGTAACCAAGTCCCTCACCTGATGTTGCTTACATTCTGGTATAAGAAATAGCATTTATTGAACACTTACTATATGCCAGAGACAGTTCCAAGCCTTTTACATTCATTATTCATTTAATCCTCGTAACAACCCTTTGAGAAGGTACTAATCTAATGTGCCCGTGGTGACAGCTGATAAGTGGCAGAACTGGGACTGGATCCAAGGTAGTCTGGCTCCAGAGCCTATGATCATAACCAGCCCGTTCTCCTGCTCTTTGACTAGAGCTACATTCTCCTGGAGGCCTTCCAGAAATAACCTGGCTTCTGAGTCTGACCCAAAAGAGACAAGTTAATGGTGATAAGGTCACAGCTATCTGCCATGTGGGAGGCGAGTGGAGGTCTGTTAGCAGGCTGAACCATCCACCGAGGGCCAGCTCTACTTCGAAACACTTCTGTCAACAGGCCTAAGGCTCCTTCCCCAGGCCTCTGTCACTGTCTGTCTCTGCGCCCACCTGTTTCTGGGGTTGGGCCCCTGTTCTCAGCAGCAGCCTCGAGGAATCATGTGTTTTTTATCCTGACTCCAGGTTCTGCTGCTCTTCTGCACATCTGGGAACTCTGAGTGAAGCTCCGGCCTCCCTCCACTCCAGAGTTCCTCTGGGAACTCAACTGCGGCTCCCTACCAATCAAGAAAGCAAGTCTGATGCCAGATGTGGCCTCTCCAATTTTCTTCTGTTCCAAGGGCTGGCCATGACTTCTCCATGGCACTTGTTAAGCATCAGGTCGTCTTGTCTTTCCTTCATGATTAAAATTATAGGCAGATTTCAGCCCAAATGAGCATTCTTGAACATCTAAGAATTACAGAGATTTCAGGTGGGGAAGAGCCTATTATCATCCAGCAAGAGCCTTTAAAACACTCAGGTGTTAAACAGACTCTTTGGTCTGGGCTGGTGGCAACCAAAGAGACTCCAAAGATCTCATTTTAAACAACAAATACAAACTTGTTCACCTTACAAAGGCGCCTGGGCATTTGTTTCAGAATTTCATCATCACCAAGTAGCTGGGACTAGAAAAAGGACCACACATCAGTGCTTGGCGGTAACAGCATCTAGCTGGATTTGCAGTCTCCCTCGGATGGAGCATACCACTCCATCATGAAAACATTCAAAGGTGAGACTATTTTTTAAAGAGTCTGCAAAAGCAACCTCTATTCTCAGAGAAGGCATATGTAAAGAACAGCATAGGGGAACTTTTGAATCAGTGACCAGTGCAATGTCAGAGGTTGTCGGGACCTCAGAGACCACCTGGCCTAGCTCCCTGAGGCCAGGGGCAAATGGAGACACCCAAAATAAAGAGGTCATGTGTTCCAAGTCACACAGTAAGGAAAAAACTAAGATTCGGCCTCAGGTCTCTCGCTATCCAGATAAACACGGAATTAAACATTATTCTTACTAGATCTTTGGTAATTTGTGAATTTACATCAACTCAGAAAGGACAATTTCAAATTTCATGAAAATACCAGCCTCATGTCCATATACCCAGAACAAGGGCTACTGAAAGAGAGGCCTGTGGCTGCAAGAACTTCCATGGTGGGCATGTAGGGGAAGCAGCCAGGAACTGCAAGTGATGGTTTCCCGTATCTGAATTCTCACAGGTGGAGAAGCTCATGCTCTTTCCCTCCAAGGCTGGCTGATGCTGACCAACCCCTATTTTTCAGTCTTCTGAGAAGGGCCCAACCCCCTATCTATTGACGGGAAACCCTGGGAACTCCCTGGGAAAACACAGGGCCCGGGCACTGAAACGTCGGCTGTGGCTGTGCTGCACCAGCCCTGTGAAATGAGAGTTCCACGTCCCCTGTGCCTTCCGGCTTCCTCTTTTGTCAGCAGGCCCCTCTCTCCACCTAAACTGCATCCTCCGGGCTCAGCCCAGAGTCTGGCATGTACTTGCTGTCAGTAAATACTGTTGACAAAGTGAATCTAGGTTGGAAAGAACCACCTCTAGTAGCCACATCACCGAGCTTCACTCTAGAGGGAAGGACTCAGTGGACGCAACAGCTGAAGTTAGAAGGCCGTCTCTATGTGCCCGGAGATAATGGCTTAAATAACTCCTTCCCAAGGTTACTCTATATGAAGCTTTCACAATGAAAGCCAGGACTCTGAAGAAACTTCAGACAAGATGACTAGCAGAGGAAAGAGGTATTCTGGAGCTGGAGGGGCCAGGTGGGTAAAAGCAGAAGAGAGCGTTTCTAGGTCCTTCAAATCAGACCATGTCAGCAATCACTCCAGTCTGTTTGCTTGTTATAGGTTTAAGAAAGAAGAGTCAGGCCCTGGTCTCGTCAACTTGATTCTGGGATGGCCTGTAACTTACAAGGGGCTATCTACAACGTGTCCCACTACATAGCTGACATAATCAAACACTGAATTATTACAACTTTTGTTCTTCATGGAATTAATGGCTGAAGAATTCCCAATTCCCAATGAACAATATGGTTTTTTTTCCTGTAGGAATTCCAGAGTTAAAGTTTTTAAGATAGTTATGTACATAGCTATAAAAAGCATCACTGAACAAATCCAGCACCATATTTGACTGCATTTGGCTTTTGTTCAGTAGACCTCGCACCGATGACAGCTACACTTAGACAGCTTCCTCTGTGCTGGCTGCACTCCACTCACTGCTTTACGTGCATTTTCTTATTTCATTCAAACCTACTTTGTGAACACCTACTATGTGCCAGGCCCTGTTCTAGGCATGAGGAATAAACACAGAAAAAAGTCCTTGTCCTCAAGGAATTTGCATTGCAATGAATAGGAATCTTCATAAATTTAATTCTCATTACAAACTCCACAAGGGAGGGGCTGCTATTCTTTCTACGTTATGGATAAAGAAACGGAGGCAGACAGAAGGTTGAAAAGTGAAAGCCTTTCTTGTCAAGTCTACCAGCAGGTGGCTAAAGCTTCTTGCACATTCTTACTAGTTACCACCGAAAGCATGACGCCACTTTAACAAAGCAGCCAGCTCCTGATTTATTGGTTGGTACGTTAGAATCAATAGCTGTTTGTAAATTTCAGATCGTGTTTCCTAATGAATTGATCCCCTTATAATGGAAATACTCTCTCTAGGAGACATGCCTGTATTTTATTTTTGACACATTTGATAAAGGAACCCCAGCTCTCATGATCAGAGCCACTCAGCATTGATTTATACTCACTGTAGAGTAAACTGACGACGTGCTGGAAACCAGGGAGAGCGAGGATCCATGAACTATTTAAAAAAAAAAAGAAAGAAAGAAAGAAAAGGAAAGGTGAATTATACATCTGGCTCCTATGGAGCCAAAAAGGGGGCGAGAAGGAGACACTCAGCATTAGAGAACACTACCAGGCTTGGAGCAACTTCACCTTGATCCAACCTTTCCTGGTTCGGTGACAGGTCAGTGCCAAATAAGCCATGATTTTCTATGAAAGTCACTTTTCTATTACCACATTTTTCTTTCCTAATAACTTCTAAATACTTTTCTTCCCCTAACTATCAAAATGATACATAGTTACTAAGTAAAAGTTTTCAAGTACAGAGAAGTGTTAGGAAGCATATTCCCTGCCATCACCTGCGTGACTCATAATTCTATTACCCAGAGGCAACCTTTACCTGCTCTGAGCCAGCATATTTTACTCCCTTCTTTTTTCTAATGTTTCCCTTTAGGGTTAGGATTGTATTGCACATATATTTTTTATCCTGCTGGCATTTGTCATTTGTAGAAGCAAAAAGATGAGCTGATTATCTGGAACATAGGAGGCTGGCTGTCAGCCACAGTAAATTCATTCTAGATGACCCTGTAGGTTCTTTGTTCAATTTCTATCAAGTCTACAAAATGACAAGCAAGTGATGTCCTCTTTTCCATTTGTGACTGGTACTTTGGGACTCAGAACCATCCTTGTGTCTGCCCTCTTCACCCCCTCCTGCCCCCAGCCAATGGAGACATTTTATGATCTGTTTTCGTGTAATTTTAAAGCATGGTCATTTCTAGGACTAGGTATTATGGGTTACTTCTCTTCTTGGGAACCAGATTTGTTCATGACATTTTCTTAGTCATCTCTCAACAACCTGTTTGAAAGATGGAAATATGCCTGTCGAGACATCATATTGAATGGGGCACAGCCTCCCTGACCAGGAGGGGAATGCCTCCGCCCCACACTGTGCTCTCACCTGTGGTCTGAGAGTGGGAGGCTGGGGAATAACTTTCCGTGTGTACTAAATGGCTTTCACTTACCACCCAAGGAGCAAACTCAACTTGGATCAGCAGCCGGCAAAGCTACCAGCCCACAGATGTCCGACCAGTGGCTCAGCCTACAGCTCAGGTGACTCCACACCGTCTTCCCAATAAACCTCTCAACCTCCCATTCTTCCTTCATGTGTTCCTAGCACACTCTGAATCCTGCACGTCTCTCTCAAGAGCGCCCTGCATAGTAGTCGGCCACTCCAGAGTCTCTCTGCCCGTGCGGTTCCCTCGGGTCTGGGATGCGTCTCATATCTGCCCGTCCAAATCTCCAGGATCAGTTCACACGGCTTCTCCTGGAGCCCTTCCTCACTTCCCTGACGGCACCTGATGGGCTTCCTCCCTCCTCTAACCCACACAGCTCCTGGCCTGGCCTTCTAGTCCTCTTCTCTCTTAGAAGATGCCAGTTGCTCTGAGACTACCCCTGCCCGGACATTCACATCCACCTTCCTTAGCAATGCCTGGGATTCTAAGTCTTTTCTACCAACTTCCTCCATCCACGATTCATTTGGCCCATGCCCATAAAAAGCAGTTTAAGGTGTTAATGGCCAATAATGGCTTTCAGTGTTAAGATGTCCACACATTAACAGAGACCTCTCATGCCCCAACCTAGTGGCCTAATGGGCCAAGGGAAAAGTTACTTAGACCCATGACACAGACACTTGGGGGGAAACTATATTGGAGGCCAAGTTGGAGGAAGGGATGTGGGAAACATGGAGCCTCCCTTCAAACACATCGCCCTTCCAGACACGCTCCAGAGGTCTGTGCAGGGCTGCTGCCAAAAGGAACTTTTTTCTTGTTTCTCCACCTCATACACATGGGTTCAGCGACACTGCCTTCAGCAGTACTCCAGGACAAGCGTGGGGCCGCAGGTATAGAGGAGCACATCTGGCAGGCTTCGGTGGGCAGTAGGATTTTTCTCTGTAATTAACTCCTCTCACTTGTAAAAAGCAACAGCAAGGCTGTGGTCCAGAGAGAGAGCCCCTGTTTTCCAGAATCACCCCCAAACTGAATGTAGCTGCCTGAACCATGCAGCTGGCTCTCCTTCAAGTGAACTGAGCCAAGGCAGAACCAGGGTCATGTGGCCAGGATACTTTCAAACGACAAAATGCATACGAGACTTGCAAAGCCAGAACAGCAAAGGCATGCCATGCATCTTCCTCGTGATACCTGGACCTCCAAAAATTTGAAGCTACAAGAAACTACAGAGATTATATCGACCGTCTCTGCCATTGACTAATTTGAAACCCAGAGAGGTTAAATGACCTGCCTAAGGTCCTAGAGCAATCAGGAACAGGATCTGCAGACCAGAAATGTGGAGACTGCTTTGCCCTTGAGTGACCTTGTTTACTGGTTTCTGAGGGTTTTGTTTTTAGTAACGTCTTTTGGTATATTTAGAATGGTTTCCTAAGGCCCTCATTCAACCTACACAGGCACAAGCTGGGACCAAAGAAGCAAAAAGTGCATGTTTGAGAAGAACGTGCTTTCACCCTTACCTAATGCATAGGTCGGGGTGAAATCAGGAGATAGAATGAGACAAGTGGGCATATTCCAGCCAATCAAGCAAGCAAATGCCTCTGCTGTCACACTTGGGAACCATATCTGTCTGTCTGTCTGTCCATACATACATACATACATCCACCCATCCAGCTTCATACTAACCAAAGCACTTTCTGCTTCATACTATTGTTTGAAGTGATCCTCATCATCACAGAGAATTTGTAGGTAATATTCCCAGACAGGGCAGGAGTTTCTACTCCTAATGAACTCAAGAGTAAATTAAGGCCCAGAGAGGATAAGTGATGTGGCCAAGCACACACAGCTGGTCGGGAGCAGAGAGAGAAGGTTAATCTGGGCATCACACTCTAGTTCACACTCCACCGCCAGGGGCTGGGGAAGGAGCCAGTGAGAATGAGTTGCAGTTCTGATGGCTAAGAGGCCACCCTCTCAATCAGCGAAGGAAGTGTAACTGAAAATGGAGCCCATGATGGTGAAGGTTCAGGTTTGTCTCAGGCAGGTAAGGAAGCGCAGCTGTGGCCAAGGCAGAGCCAAGTGTAAGGTAGGATTGAGTAGAAAAACAGAGGGCTGAGAATCAAGCGTTTAGGACCTGGTTCTGGCTGCAAGAAGTTCCCAAGTCACTTCTGTTTGATTTTTCCATAAACAAAATGAGGTTGAAATGGTCCATGGGGAGAAGGATGAAACAAAACATGACAACTGTAACAACAGCTACCACTGATTGAGTACTTAGTAAACCCCTCTCTAAGTCATTCTGCTAACTGCCTTCCAGGATTTGCATCTCACCTAATCTTCACGTCAACCTTTGAAGGAGATACAATTACTTTCCACATTTTAGTGAACAGGAAATAGGCTCAGCAGGGTCAAACCCCTTAGCCAAAGTCACACTGCTAACAGTGGAGGTGCCAGGATTTGAATCCAAGTGTAACTCACGGGCTAGAAACACAGGTAAGCTGCAGTACTAGATTTTTTTTTATTTATAGGCTGCTCTGTTCCTGTGGATTCCACATGAACTGATTTAGATGACACCAGCTCTTAGGGATGATTGTACAGTTCCTGGATTTTTTTTTCCCTCCAAAGACATTCATTTAAAAAATGCCTCAAGCATCTCCCTAAAGTACAGTATTCAAGTTGACTTTAAGCTTGCATAATGCATCTGATAGAAATTAATTTACCTGAAAATATTTGAAAGATTGCACCTGGGCCATGCCTGTACCTGATCTACATATTTATGACTCCCACTTCCTTCAAAATGGAAATTGCTAATTAAATCCCACAAAACCCTCACCCAAGTACTTGTGCTAATTCTTCCTAAATTTCTATCCCGCCTTCTGGCATATGATATACCTAACTGTCTCTCATAAGGAAGTTCTACTCTGTCTGAACATGAGATGTGAATTTTTTCCCCAACTGTCTCTGCAACACTGGGAGTTTACATATTCAACAGGGGAAAAAAAGTCTTCACCCAATGGAACTAAAAACACCTAACTGCACAAGCCCTATTTTGTTTTTGTAACATAACAGCCCTGGAAGAAATAAAATCAATCCAATGCCAAATTTCCCAAAAGATGAAAATGGTACATGTTTATTAGTCTATCGACAGCAGTCCCTACCCCTTCTCCCCAAACTTGATCTTCACCTTTGTGCTTCAGTTCCATGTCACCATGAATCATCAGGGTTTACAAAAGTCTAGACATTGCTTATGGGCAAGCACTTTTTATCAATGTCACTTTGACATCCCAGCTATTCCACAGTTGTGCTCCCTGACAGCTTGATTCCAGATGGAATAAATAAAAGCCATCTGATGATGACACGGGAATGGTCCTGGACCTTTATGAGGCGAGGTGTGCTTGTTTGGACAAGTTTCAGTACTGAACACTGCTCACTCAGGTACAGCGGGACAGAGGAGATGAACACGGCACCAGACACACTCCCTACTCGAGCCGCCACCAGGAGGCCTGAAATGATCTGGGGCCACACCTGGCTCACCTACCGACCAGAAAAATGTTCAAGACAAACTGCCTACTCCTTCACCTGAGAGTCAGTATACCCTCTTACTAGTACTGCTCTGAGTGGGTATAGCACTCATTTCTAGCTCTTAAATCCAGCAAAACACTCAGCAACTCAGGCTCCACCCCCTCCTAATGCGCTGTCCCAGCAGGTTCCCATAGATGGATTTCCAGACTGGTGCCTGCTCAGTGGATGTCACTGGATGCAAATGATACATAAGTCAGAATGGAGAGAATTAAGGAAGATTAACCAGGGGGTAACTGCTCTGAACTAAACTCTTAAGACTTCTGTTAAAAAGAACGCTGGGCATAGCAGAAGCGGATATCCTGCCTCTCTCTCTCTTGACTTATTTAGGGATTTCCTCGACAGTCACAGGTTTATTTGTTCTTTCCTACCAGGAGGACGCCGGGCATGCTCCCCAGCTCTCACAAGCACTGGGAGCAGAGGAAAGCACCCATGACTCCCCTCTCTACCCCTACCCCGTTCTGTCACTGGCAAAAAAGGTACAGCTAGGGCTGTGGCCCTCGGCCTGGGCTCCATTTGCTCTGAGAGTCCCCATCTCTGACTGGGGACTTCCAGCTGCCAGGACACCAATGTTGAAGCCGCGTTTTCAGGCTGTGATGGGTCCTAACATTATTGGGTTAACAGTTATCTATATTATCTCATTTAATTCACATAATTCCACGAACTGAGTACTCCCATTTTATCAGTGAAAAAAACAGAGGGGCCAAGAGGTGAAGTTAACTTGTTCAGAATTATATACCTAAGAAGTAGTGGAGCTGGAATTCAAACCGTGGTGGCACTATCACATATCCTCCACCATGAGTCAATGGCACTGACCCCCATGTCTTACCATTCCCATCTTTGGGAAGTTTTTGGGGGGTGGGGGGATGTCCTTTCACGACATTTCGACTGCTCTCCCCTAACTCACACCTTGAGTGAAGGAATGAAGAGACATGAACTGAGTTAGATGGCTGGGGAGGATGCCCACAGTAGCTTTCTCCCCAAATTCTGATGAAAATGAACAAAATAGAAAAATCCAACCCCAAATATTCCCAATTAGCGAGCAAAGAAGGAGTGGGGCATAACTGAATGCAATAAACTTACCAAAAAAACTGGTGCTGGAGAAAAGAAATAGAAAATTCTGGAGCAAGGTGGAGAGGCCCAGCTGCCCACAGTCCCCCCTATAGAGCCATGCAGGTGCGTCAGCACATGGAGATGAACCCTGCAGTGACTGGCGCTGCCAAGGTGGGGCACCAGCGGCTGAACCTCATGATGGAGGCGTGTGCCAAGAAGCTAGGGACCAAGTCCAAGAGAGAGAAACCTAGAGTGGAGCTCGGTCAACCCAAGGGTTCACCAGTATTTTTTCAGCAGCCTCTTCCTTCAAGTTTAGCGAGGTTAAGTGAGACCCTACTCAGACACTACTTTTCAGAATTCCCCAGGCCCAACCCCCAGAGTTAAGCAGGCAAATTAGAAACTCATACCAGTGGGTTCTTAGGTCAATCAAGTGAACTCGGTATAGAGGACCATAAACCACTCTGCACAGCCCGAGAGAGGGGGAATCTCCTGGTTTGCTTACCTTCTTCAAACCCATCCCGGAATGAGCCCGAGCGGCTCATGGTTCTGCTCTTCTCATCCAGGGACATGGAGCTATTCCGGAAGCGGCTCTCCGTGTACGGGTCATACTGCCCGTCAGCATTGGAGAGGCTGTGGGTCCTCAGCATTGTAGGGTTGGACAAGCTCATCTGGGTGACCGTGGTGGGACTCGCTGGAAGGACAGGAGTCAGTCAAAAGGTTGGAAATTCATGTCTCTGTTTAAATCCTGAATGGGGACGAAGAGGGGACTGCTTCGGATCAGCCACATCTGCCCCTGTCAACTTCTCTCCCTTGTCTATTTTCTAAAAGGTAGCCACATCAGCATTTGAGTTACACACTTCGAGCTAAAAATAAGGGAGGAAAGGTGGGTCAGTTCCAAACCAAGGCTCTGGGCCTCAGCTTTCCAACTTGGCACGTTCAGACAAGCTAGTGTCACCTTCCAGGCATGAGCTAATTACTCTCTGGGTTCATCTGGAACAATTCTCTCTAAAGCCGAAAGCCCAAAATAGTCCAACCGGGCTTTTGATCAGATGGGAAGCATTTGTGCATGACAAGAAACTCTGGCCTCAAAGAGTTACAGCTGGGAAAGAATAATATGAATATGGGTCTCACTGCCTCAGATGGGGAAGCTTTAATAATGGTGCCTCCAGAGCTTCAACGTAAAGCGGATGGGCACATTTGCCTTAGCTGAAACTGGCTTTCTTACTAAAATCTTGCCCATTTCTGTTGATGTTAAGTATTTCAGAAGCATGCATTCGGTTAATTAAAAAGGAAGAGCCAAGCCTTACTTGATTATGAGCCACGAGACTGTCCTTAAAGATTGAGTCTATGATTCACAATAATCAGAAAAAGCTGCCTCGCTAAAGAATGAGATGAGAATGGAAAAACTACTTCCCTCTCTATCCATCTCAGAAGGCTCAGCTCTCATCCTGCCACCTCCATGTAATCTTCCCCAGTCACTCCAGCCAGGTCTGAGCTCTCTGACTTCTCTAACTGCATGTAATACTTGCTATCTGTTCATACTCAGTTTTTTCACTTTCATGTAAAGCTTTGGACTGTTCCCTGTGACCCTATTTATGAGTCTGTGTGGGTGTTGGGTCTCTCTAAAAAAGCATCCGTTGACATGTCAGCAGGGACTGTGTTACGAATTCTTTTCTGTTCCTCCCTGTGCCAGTCAAAGCATTATGTCACCGGTAGGCATTTCCAAGAATTTCCAAGGAGGCACTTCCAAACACTTGTTCAGTCAAAACCTGATCTTTATTTCCAGTTTAATAAAGTAACGAGGAAGACCAAACATGGGATATGCTGTAAAATCTACTTCTTCAGAGGTCTCAGAATACGTTCTTCTCATTCCGTGGGATGGTTTGCTCTCTGCTCTAACACTGTATCGGCCACAGACAGGAAATTACTGATGAGAGAACCAAAAACGTTTCTCTCTTCTCTACTTCTTTGGCTATCACTCTCCTATAATCAAACTACATTGCTGAGGGCTGATCAGATACTGAGTGAGGTGACCACCTGTCTGTGACCACACGTGTCTTTCAAAATGCAAGATAAGCTCTGGCCTAAGGCGCCGACCAACCCAGCTAATGACAAGTGGCTACTCACCCAGCTGAGAAAAGTTGAATCTGGTTCCGGAGGGAGAAGTCACACTGGAGCCAGAGGAAAAGGGGGAGTTGGCAGCGGTGTCCTGCAGGCCCCCTGCAGAGTGTGACCGCAACCATTCTTTTGCATCTTCCTGTGTGCGAAGCTGGGAGGTGGGAGTATACCTGGACAGACAGAAATCAGACCAGGATTAACTGTGAACAATGCTTATGAAAATGAGCTCCCTGGAGCTGATGACAAACGTATACCAAGAAAGTATACATCCAAAGATACTGTTTCAAAAATCAGCTCGCTATACCTCCTGAAACTTACGAAGTTCCTCAAAACCTTTTTTGTTACTTGGCCGTCTTTGGGGAAAACTGCAATTCCTTTTAGTTTGGAGGGAACTACATAAAGGGAGTAAGACTGGTGAATGCTCAAAAGAGCCGTCCCTGGGCGTATCTGTAACTTGTTGATTCATGACAGTGTCATTTCAAAGCCCCCACCTTGACAGACTGAAGCAACAAAACAAGCTGCTGTCAGAGCTTGGAGGAAGTTTTAATTAGATAGCTCATGGCATCTGCACTCAAGAGCACAAATAAGTGGCCATGAATCACAGAGTATCAGGAACCAGACACGTAAAGGGAGGTGTGAGGAGACCGACGCTGACAGTAGTTGCTGCAATCCAGCATGAGACAGTCTTCTCAAAAGGAACCCCAGATCACTGGGTTTCACACAGGGGAGGAGCTTCTGAAGTCACGTGACACACCTCCTCATTTATTCTGAAGCATATTTGGTGATGATTTAGTCAATGTCTCCAATGTACCAGGTGCCTTCAAAGACATTATCTCGCCAAAGCCTCAGTCCCTCCCAGCAACACAGATGCTCTTATTCCCATTTTACATTCAGAGAGGATGACAGCCTGCCTTGAATCACATGCCGAGATTTCAATCCATATCTGTCTGATTCCCAAATCCATGCTCTTCTCACTATGACCACAGGCAGCATCTCAGATTTCTAAAGTGCCCAAGTGGCCAGAGTACTTTGGACTTATAAACATATTACCATGGAGTGACTACTGATTACGTAAACAAAGGGGGGTCTTCTGACTTAGGAGAGGAGTCATTGGGGTGGTGGCGTTGGATGTGTGTGTGTACAGAGTTTCCAGGGTGAGCTGGAAAGGGAGTCAGGGCGAGAGGGAGCATAAAGTGCTTTTCCCATAGTATTTAATGTGAATGTTTTCACAACAGTTGATGGGCTTCCTAGGTCACACCAATTGCCTGAATATACCTTGTCACATGTCTCTATTCTCAGTTTTTAAAAAGACAATGTTTAAAAGTCAGAGCTACATCATTTTCATAGGATAGATCTGCTCCAGAAATAAACACAGAATTTCAAAATGTTAATATTCAAAGAAGTCAGCTTACTCTCGGAGCAACAGTGGGGCACCGAGTTCAAACGCATGTTAAGTGGCCGTGATTTAAGCACGAACCTGGGTGCTGACTAGCAGCCCTCACAGGCATGATGAAAACTGTTCAGTACAAAAGATCTTGCCAACTCCCCCTCTAAGGCCACTGGGCTGAACTTCCTGCCTTGGGACGTCTGCTGGGGGCCTTTTCAATACTTTTATTTTTAGATTTTGGGGTTTGGCTTTACTCGGAGCTCCTATTGAAAGGAAGCATTGATACCTACCTCCCATTACTGTTCAAAACGCTCTGAGCCTTGAGAGCTGCAGGTTATTAACTACAGACATACATGACAGCAACGAAACATTTCATTCCAAGTTTCATGTTTTGCAAAAGCATTTAATGCTTAGTGCAGGGTGAAGCCAGTGCTACAGAGAACAAGGTGTTTAGAGAGCAGGAGAAATGACAGCGGCAACCATAAGACATGAAGACCGTGGGGCAGGCGTTAGAACTGAAGTCCCTCTGGTCGGCAAAGTGAGGTGGGTGGTGTAAGCAATGGTGACCTATAGCATCTTGGTTCACCAGGACCAGCACCAAGAACGAGCCATGACTTAGAGTGAATGAAGGGACATTCATTCCTTCCTGGTTGTCTTTTCTCTCTTTATACTCCACTCTGATCACACCCAGGTCTTTCTGGGCACTGAAAAGGCAATTTTCAATTAAAATATTTAGACAAGAGCAAAGTGTCTGTCTTTAGCAATTTTCTATGGGCTGAAAAATTAAATATCTTCAAATTGCGGAGAAAATCTTCTCTCCTTTGTGGGTGCCCCGGCTGGCAAATCAACATGCTACAAGTCATATCCTTTCTCTCGGAAGACAGCCCATGGACAGAATGGTCATGGCGAAGTGACCTGTGATTAAGCCCGCTGGCCCCAGAAGTAGCAGTGACTGCCCTCTGGGCTTGCACAGGGATGCTTGACATGAGATGGGGTGACCACAGTGAGCCTGAAAGAGCACAGCCTCTGCTCAAGCAAATAAGCCAACAAATGGAGAGATGAGAACAAGAGGGTTGCGAGGGGAGCTGTTGTCCAAAGGGTCCTGCTGCAGTGGCCAAAGCGGGGACCCCAGCCCAGCCCGAACCCCGCCAGCCATGAGAGAGTCACACAGCCAAGCCCCAGAGCCACACCAGATGGCACGGATGCAAGGAGGAAACACAGATACCTGAGTCCTTTTTTAGGCAAAGTGTTCCTATCAAGGTGCGGGTCACTGTAGGAAAGTTAAAACAAACATGAGAACTTCAGAGAAGCGCAGGGAGAGCAGGCAACGTGAGGAGGGAAAGGCTCAGGAGGGGCCGAGAGATCTGAAGGAAGAGACTCACTTCACCAGGGAGCGCTCCACCGCATGCAACACATCCACAGCCTCGAGAAACGGAGGAAACCCGGGTCTGCGCTCACGCCCGGGCATCCTCCACCCCAGTCACCAGGAGGTCTGAGCCACTCAACCCCAGCGCCTCCTCCTTTGCCACAGGTTCAAAGCCAAACTTGGGGGCCGCCCCGACCTGGAAGCAGAGCCCATGCCGTCCGCGGCCTAGTCGCCCAGCTGTACCGCCACTGCTTCTCGGAGAGAGAGATGTCAGGCTCCCCGCACCCCTGATCTGGCCCACCCCTAAACGCCACTGGCGATGACTTCAAGTGACAGCAGGGACTTGTTGGAGGGTTTCAAGAGGCCAGCAGTCTGCATTTTTGGAATTCATCTGAAACAAGTGAATTCCAGGTCCCTCTCAGTTTGCGAGGCCCTCATTGGGCGTAGCTAGGGGCTGAGCCCCCTGGGCAGAGTCAGGGCAGGTTACAACTTGCTGGCTGATAAAGTCAAGGCATTTGGATTTCCAAAGAGCCAGGTTTAAAGGCTCGGTTGTGTGTCTGACAAAAACAAAGTTTTTGCCGTTGACAAGGTGAAGAGGGTTTTCATTAATTTTGTTTCCTAGCATGAAACAACGTCTGCTTATTATGTTTGGCCAAGACACGGCTCTCCCACAAATTTAAGGTCAGTGTTCATTTCTGAGGCCCACCCACAGGGCAGCTGGAGGCCAGCGAGCCTCTTTGTTTGTAAAACCTCAGCACTGTACACAGTCTGCTTACCATCCCAGGAAACGGGCACACAGAACACCACAGCCTGCGAGATACAGAGCCAAACTGCAGCAGAGGACTCAGAGACGGAGAGAGCCAGCTGCGCGGGGAGTGCGGATGGGGGAGACATAGGCGAGGGCCAAGCCACGTGGTGGGTGGGAGGTCACCTCTGGGCTGGGGGGCAGGGAGAGAGAGGAGAAAGGGCAGGAAGCTGGGAGCTGGGAGCAGGAGCATGCCTCGGGGACACGGAGATGCGAGTGAGAGCTTCTGTTGCCCGCCCACGTCAGGTGGCAGGTTTGAGGTTCCTTCCCAAGCTGGGGAGGAAGGGGCCGGCCCAACTTCACCTCTCCCCCAACCTTGTGGATGGCGGAACAGCCCCTCACTGGCATGCCTGGGGGGACACAGAGTACACTGGGGCCACAAACACAAGCAGAAGCCTCAGGCCAACAGCCTCACACAAAACATCCGGCTTGACACAGATGGGGGCGGAGGACCCTAGAGGCTCAGTGGGGTCCCCAGCCTACAATAATGTCATTACCTGTCCTGTTTCCTGGGCAGAGTACTTCTGCAGAACTTAGGGCTAGCGGCAGGGGAAGAGAGAGGGCTAGAAGGCCGGCAGGTAGAAAACAAGAGAAGGAACATTAGATTGGAAGGAAGTGGGGGCAGGGGTGCTGTTATACACAATGACCGGAACGTTTTGCTCATTCCCAGCGCTGATACTGGCTTTCTTCCCCATGTGGAGAAAATGGACATGAATCACCACGGCAGTGGAATTCACAGCTCTGAGGACAATTCTGGTTTCGTGCTCTCCTATCACTCCGGCAGGCAGCCCTGCAGGGGGAGGGTGTCCGCCCCGAGGAGCAGCGTGCTGAAGGGGCACCCCACTGCGCACTCCACCTGCTTGGTCTGCGCAGTTACAAAGGGCGGGGCGAGAAGCAGTCGATGAACAAACAAAACAAAATGGAAGGACTTCAAAGGCAGAACGCCATTTCAAATGAAAGCATTCAGTCTGCCCTCTCGAAAATTCCAGCAGCTCTGAGCACTGAGAATAACCACCAGGAAAAAGACAACAGGGAGCAAGGCCAGAAAGAGGGAAACCTTTCAGGCCACCGTGAATTAACATGCAGGCTTCCTAACGTCATCTTTTGACTCTCGGGAGGGTGTCTTCTGGGGAGACAGAGGCAGCCAGACACACAGCACCAACCTTTCTGACAGCGTGGTCTTCACGCTGTTGGTTCTGACGAAGGGGGTCAGGGCGTCATCCTTAGAGGAGGCGAGGAGGCCGGTGGAGGAGTTGTGACTCGGTGCCCCCCCGCTGCCGAGGGAGATGTCGATGGACTCGCAGCTGGTGTGGAGGCTGCTGACCGACTGGAAGCCCAGGCCGTCCTTGCTAACGGCCGAGGAGCTGCTGGCATTGGTGCCCCACGTGAGGCTGTTGGAGGGGCCCGAGTGGGCCGAGCTGGGGCTGGAGGCTAGAGGGGACTGGTTGCTGTCCACGTTCTTACTGTACAGGGGGCTGCTGCTCCCACTGCTCAGGACGCCGCTGCCCGAGGGGGACTCTAGGTTACCTTGCTGGGTCAAGGTGGCATGAGGGTTGGAGATGACCACCGAGTTTTTCATGGTTTCGGCTGTGGCGATGGGCACTTGCTTGGTAGGCTTCCCACCAAAGAGCCTGTGAAGAGACAAAGGGTTGTGCGGGTTGAATACCCAACGCCAAGGGGCACCAGAAACTGGGGCCCAGGAAAGGAGCCAGTGAGAGTCCCTGGGGAGGGAGCCATGGTCCTTCCCACTCAAATGGCTCAAGGTGATTCCCTGGGAAAGGCTGCTACGCAGTGGGGCTGGGCCCTGGGACAGCAAAGGCTCCACCTTCAAGTTCTAGGCTGCCACTGAGTCACTGGGCCAAAGGGAGACGGGGGAATAATTTTCTACAGAACGGGCCTCTCCCTCGCTGGTCCCAGATCTTGCTTCTGTTTCTTTCCCTAAATAGAGTAACTAGAAAATTACCCTTGCCCAGGAACCACCTAGGGGGAAAAGAGCTGTCTTAATCATCTTTGTATTCATGACCTCAGGCACAAAGCAGGCGCTCCGTTTATGACAGTTCAGCTCCAGAGGATTTGGTTTCTTTGATCTCTAAGCACAACATGTAGAATCAAGAACAGGAGTCCAGATCTGGAGGAGGCCTGGGCAACGTATGTTCACAGATTTATTCTCATATGAAAGCCCAGCCCAAAAGATGTGTCTTTTGGGGCCTAGGGCCAGAGAGCCAGCACTGCCCAGTGACAGACACAAAACCTTGCTGGGTTTACAAGATGCTGGACCAGACATGCTGGGTGTGAACTGTGACTGTGGGACAGACACCAGAAATGCCAGTGCACATCATCTCCCCCACTGCTCGTGACCAAGAGCGTGCTGTCAGAGCACAGGGAAAGGCACAAATACTTCCTTCTTTGACAGAGGGTTCTCTGGCTGGATGGAGAAAGTGTCCTTAAGTCAAAGGACAATACATGTTCCAGTAAGGGAATGCCTTTACTTATCTGCTAAAACCCTTAGGGAACGGTGGAACCCTCTGGAAAGTGATGATACCACTGCATATTATGCTAGGCAGGTTCCCTTCCACCCAGTTGCTCAAAGTGGTGTGTTTGGCTTGTGTCATCTCCAAACAGTCCTTACAAACCTTAATTATTGTCAAAATAAACACACCAACACATAATCAACCCTCACTACCATGTCTGGTGACAGATGAGGAACACTTTTTGCCTGGTGACAGAGAAAGAACTATCCCATTGCAGAACGTTGGCTTTAGAGTGCTTACATACATCCAGTGATGGGGGCCTCACTACTCCACTCCAAAGGATAAGTGGCTCTGCTACCTAGTACTTCCAACAGTTAGGGAATCAAAATCTCATCCACCTTTGACTCTTACACATTGCTCCTAGTCCTGCCAAATGGAACTACATAGAAAAAAAATCCCATCTTTTGTCTGTTCGTCATTCAAATCACTTGAAGAGAGCTATTACACTTCACCTAAGATTTGTCTTCTCCAAACCAATGCACAATGAGAGAACTGAAAACACCTTAACTATTAAGGAAAAATGTAATTGCCAGGAATGGGCTGAAAGGTGCTCAACGCTGAGCCAAAGAACATGCAAGCATTTTCAACTATTCTATTACACTAGCCTAAGGGTCTAGTAAAAAGCCTTTGTAGTTACTAAAGGAAATCTATAATACCAAAGAACTAATATTATATATAATATACTTGAGGCAAGAAGCAGAGAAAATTTTCATTTACAAGCAATCTGTTAAAACAACAAAGAGGAGCCCAATAGGACCTTCCCTTGAAAAAAGAATCATTACTGAAATTCTAATAATCAAGTCTAGACAAAGAACAGTGAACAGCTTGCTTCATTACACCTTTCATGTGGAATGCTTCTTCTGAAGTCTTTGCAAACATTCCTTTTCACCCTATATGTACATGCGCACATTTTTATTTTTTCACTGCTAAATTTTCTATTCTTGGGATTTACTCTTTCCCATGACAAGAAGTTTTGTGGAAAGGTAGGATGAACTCTGCCCTATGCAGCTGCAGTTTTGAGGATGGTCCAGTGGATATTATAATGAGACAACATGAAGAGGCAAAAGTTGCATAAACTGATTAAAAAAAAAGTAAATAATCATATTTCCATGGACCAATTTCTACCCAGTGTGGAAATGCGGGAAAATGTCTTTTTAAGGTAATAGGAAATCAGTTTCTCTTTTTCAGAAATGCTTCTGCTTTAAGAGTTTTTTTTTTTCTTAAGGAAGCTAAAATTGCAGAGACTAATTTGGAATTATACATGCAGTATAAAAAAATATGTGGGGGATATTGGACTATTTGGGAAAAAGATCTGGCCAAGATCACTGTCTGAAATAATGATGAGGAATCTGAGTCACAGCATCAAGATGAGAAAAAAAAAACCTGTCTGCTTCCCTTGAGCTCCCATCCAGATCTAAGTGTGTATTAGGGTCTCATCTCTGATGGTGACTAACTTTTACTGAGTACTTACTATGGGCCAGATATGGCTACACAGATTGTCACAAGAAATCTCAGGTAGGTATCATCATTCCCATTATACAGATGAGGAGACAGAGGCAGAAGTGTTAAGAGAGGTTACATGGTGGCTCATTAAGGCGGACCTAGGATTCAAACCCAGGATGACTGATGCCAGAGGCTTATGTTTTTCAATATGGGAAAATAATCTGTTAACTGTAAAACTTCTGGCAGCATCTGACCAAACCAGAAATGGAGAAAAAGAGAGGCTGCCTCAATTGAAAAGCAGGAAATTATTGATCCAGGATGCCATTCTGTGTATTCCAGTTCCGCTCGGTGCCATGCACCCACTTACCTGCGGAGCGTGGGGGAGGCCACATCCGGGTACTTGGCTCCTGGCTGGAGAGTGGCCTGAGCCGCACTGGACACAGGCTGGGCTGCCGGGTTTACTTTCACTGAGTTACAGGAAGCCACGCTCTCGTTGTCAGATGAGATGCCTTTCTCCTTATCCGTCTGGTTGACCAGACCTGGCAAAGAGCTGCCCAGGGCTGTTTTGGAAGGCTCCCTCAGCTTGGGCACTGGCAGGCCTGCTGACTTGCTGCTGATGTTGGAATCTATGCTGCTGGTACTAGACCTGTTCCCAGCCCCGTTCCGGCTGGTGGACTTACTGGGCCTTGGCAAACTCCGGTACTGTAAGTTTGTCCGGGAGCTGAGAGACAGATACCCGTCGTCCTGATTCTGAGCTCCATCCATGCTTGTCTTCCGACCGGTGGACCGACCGACAAGAGCAGATGACTTTGGGATTTTGCCCAGGGTGGCTGACCTGCTGGTGACAGTGGCCCCACTGGCTGTGATCATGGCCAGACCAGCGGCAGAGCCACTCTGCTTCTTGAACCCAAAGCTGTTGGCATTGGCTGCGGGTGTCCTAGAGCTGCTGGGGAGGGGCTTCTTGGATTCATCACCACTGCTACGGCCGGCGTCTGATGGGGAGCGCTTCACCTGGGAGGCTTTGGGTGACAGCCTTCCTTTCTCAGATACTTTTGCATCATCTGTTTTTCCTAAGAGGGAAATCAGTAAAGTTAGACCGCAAACCAAGAAGCCAGCTCATCCAGCTCAGTCTGTTTAAAATTCTCCCCTCCTTCCAAGAACTGGTTCACTTTCTCCTAAGGGGAAGCAGTCCCATTGGGAATCAGAGGAAAGGGCTTTTTATAAAGATAACCTCATCTACAACTGTCAGCCTTTTAGGAGATGTCAATGACTTTCCTCATTTGCAAAGCAGTCCAGATTTACCTAGAATAAACCGAAGCCAGCCAAACACTGATAGGTCTGGGAAAGAGATCTTGTCTTTTACTGATCTTTCTCCCCTTGTCTATTAAAAAGCTGTCCCTAATATTTTCAGAGGGTATCCCACCTTCCTACAAAAACAGTGCCTTTGTTTACACACATCCTCACATCATGGACAACATCAATTCAACATAACCAATAGCTCATAACCATGTGCCCTTGAATAGTCTTCACTGAGTAGCTGTTAGCTCTTACCCAGTACATGCTTAAACCAAGTCAACACACCTCCGCAGGTGAACTGCCTTCAGAGTTTAAGAGGCTCACGCGCTTACAAATCGCCACTTGGAAAAAGGTAAGGAGGTGAACTTTTCTGAAAGCTGGCTATTAACAGGGTCTAAACCCAAAGAAGAAATAAATACCTGCACATTTATAGGGACTTTAAAACAAGTCCTTGTGCAGTTTTGATTTTCAAACTGACAACTGTGCATGCGACACAGAGCATGCGCTTCTGACTCACCAGTTCCTGGGGTCTTGAGCGTGCCTGCTGGAGCAGCTGGCTTCGTCCTCGGCACAGTGATGCCCACCTGAGCTGTCATGCCTCGCCGCCACGAGCCTGTCTGCGAGATGACAGGGTTCTTCTTGCCTGACGTGCTTTTGTCAGACTCGTCAGACACGTCAGAGGGATTCCGCCTCCACTTGGACCCCGGCTCCATCTTTATGCCGCTGTCTGACCCTCCGTCTGACTTTTTGACATCATCGCCGGACCACAGGGAATTCCTCTCCACCTGCGAGTGCTTCTCTGCATCGGTCTGTGAAGGAGACCCTCTGAATTAGCCCTTCTTAAACCCCAGGCGAGGGAGCCCCTCACCCCAGAGTGAAAAATGTCAATGCACTGGACAAGGTAAGGGAAAAATAACAGATAACTACTTGAAAACGTTTGGGTCTTTGTACTCTCGTTATCTGGTTAAAAAGCTCGACTTGTTGGGTCTAAGGAAAGTAAAGAATACGAATATGTCTTAGAAGGGAGTGAGGGAGGAAGAGTAAAAGAAGCCAGAGGAAAAAGAGGGAAAGAGCCCCATGGAGAACCAGCAGACAGAGATGTGGCAGGAATTCAGCCCCCAACTCTGCCACTTGGCGACCAGCCTCCTCTAACTCTGGCAGCCTGATCTCTATCCAGCTTCCAGCCTCCCAGCCCATTCCCCTTTGTTCGCCGTCTCCCTGTCACTCCACTGGCAGTGAGATCTTTGGATCCAGCACAGCGCACAGTCTAACACACCGAGAGCAAGAGAGCGAGGGCAGCTGCCAGCTCCCCTCAAATCAGGGAGAGAGAGGGGCTGAGAGGAAGCAAATCCTCAAAAGCCACTTCCCCCTCAACACTAGGAGCCAGCGAGTGTCTGCTCCCACCCCAGCTCCATTTATATGCCGTGGCTTGCTCGTCTTGTGGGATTTTGTGCAGACAAGGGATATAATTAGCCAGCTTTCTTTGGAAGAGGCCTGACCTGCTGGCCATGGAGCCCAGGAGGGGCCAGAAGTGTGATGTTAATGATTTGCTGCAGTTAAAAGGCATAACACTAACCAGAAAGCTTTGGGGACCTCCCCAGGGGTTGCGGCCAGCCCAAGGAGATTTCAGCAGGGAGAAGCAGCGTAGTGAATGGGGAAGGAAGGTCACCAACACTTTAGGGTAGCTCTCCTAGGATACAAGTCCCATGTTTGTGATACTTAACTACCAACAGTGGACATTATCAGAAGAGGAGGAAATCAAAACGATGCCCTGGCAAGAATCTGGCCCGATGCCTGTCATCCAAGACTAGTACGAACGACTTCTGCCATGGAATACACTGACGACAGGGGACCAGAGCCACACACAGACAAGCAGCCCGAGTTCAGCTGCCTCAACATCACCACCACCACAGCCTCCCTCTCTCTCCCTCTGCGACCTCATGAGTGCCTTCCGTTGTTCAGTCATTCCTTAAACACATGCTTAGGTTTCCACTAGGTACCAGGCATCAGAGGGAGGAGGAGGACAGAAACACTGAGAAGCTCATCCCTCGGCTGCGGCAAGGTACACAGAGGTGTCCCGACAGCAGGCACTCAATCAAGGCCTGATGAGTCAACGAGCAAATGAATGAACACACGCTTCTCCAGCCACAGAACGCTGTGACAAAGTGACCTCATCTGACCCCGACCAATATCTGGTCAAGGAGGGTAAGCAGCACTGTTTTCATCTCAGTTTTACAGATGAGCGGAAACTCACGCTACTCACTCCGTGTCCCAACTACCCCAGCCCATGTTCCTTCCTCTAAACCTTTCAGTATATTCATTCAACCAGAATTTCCTCCAGGATGCCTGTGGAGGAGAACCAGCAGACATTGTGGGTCTGAGGGTCTGGGAGTAAGATTGGTTCCCATTCCTCCTGAAGTTTATGATCCAGTGAAAGAGGCAGGGATTGGAAATATAAGACAAAGAAAAAAGAAAAAAAAAAAGGAAAGGACCAGGAGTCTGAGAGAGAAATACAGACACTGATGTAACTTCAGATGATGAAGATAGGGGTAAGGACAGTGGTCCAGTAAGACCTTTAGACCTTTTTGAAGAAGTGCCCTAAAGAATGAGAAGAAATTTATTAAGGGAAAGTTTAGGGACGAACACGCCAGGTAGCAGGAAGAGCACGTGCAAAGGCCCTGAGGCAGAAAAGAGGTTGGCTTTGGAAATATTCACTCAATAAATATTTACTGGGTGCCACTATGTGCCAAGCAAGCTTTTGGATACTGGATATACTACAATGAAAAAGAACAAAGTACAAATTATTAGTCCCCTGGAGCTTATATTCAAGTACATTCTAACACATTCTAGTACACTCTAAGAGGTACTGAAAACTTAGCACATACCACATCCTGGGGTACTGCATTAACTCATTTTTTAATGTTCCTATACCTTATTTTTCCTGATCAAATTGTAGTGGTGCTAATAGTAGTAGCAGTAACAATGAAAATTTATTAGGCATTTACTATGTGCTTGGCACTGGGCTAAAGTGCTTTTTACACGTATTATTTAATTTAATCCTCAACAAAAAAGCTGTGAGGAAGTTACAGTTCATAATCTCAATTTTACATGAGGCACCGAGTAGAAAAGAGAATTGGCCAAGATGACACAGTGCAAGGATTCCAAGGAACCTAAGTTCAGAGCCCATATTTTAGCCACAATGCTATACCACCTTCCTGGAGGATAAGTCCAAGTACATGAGGATGCTGCATGCCCAGTGGTACCTAACACAACACCCACACCCAGCTGATTTTCCTTCTACTCTGGATGGCCTGTAGTGGCCTTCCCCAGCTCCCACTCTGGAGCAGTTCCAGGGTCCCCTCTGGGTTGAACCTTCAGAACTGTGGAGGTTCCACCACCAATGGCAGACAAAGTGCTCAAGTCCCTGGTCTGGGACTGTGACTTGAATTTCCCTCTGGAAAGAACAATCATCCAATCATCACAGCCTCCACAACGTGGTCTGGGGGGTAGGCTCCCAGCTGCTCTGTGCACAGCGGCACCTGCCCTGGGACACTCTCCTGGTTTTAAGTTCACATCTCCTTAGCAAACCCCTCCTGAGCTATATGCCGATCATGTAGTGGCACCAGGAGGTTTAAGAGATGACAAAGACCCAGCCTCTCTGTTCCCAGAGCTTACAACAGGAGGGCCAGCAGAACAGCCATGTAGGGATGTACAAAGGGCTGCACCCTCCCCTTCACCAACTGTTCCCACCGCAGATGGTACCTCCTGTATGTAGAATGTTCCTACTGCCTGTACCTGCGAGTCTACTTACTCATTCAGCATCCAAGAGGGAAGGTGGGGAAATAGCCACACACAAGGAGGGGGAGGGCCTGGAAGACGGAAGACAGCTCTCTTGACTGGCCCAGGGGAGGCCAATCTCCTTAGAGTAAGAGGGTGAAAACAAGGCACTGGGGAGTGAGGTGCAGCTGTGGGGAGTGATGGGGGCAAGGGCATGGGTTTGGTGTCTGACAGACTTGAGTTCAAGGACTAGGTGCTGCCATTCCTTTGCTGTGTGTGCTCCTGGAGGAAGTGGTGGAACCTCTGGGAGATTGTTACCTTGTGCATAAAACAGGGATGGCAGCAGACAGGTGTCTCACAGAGTTGACAGTGGACTCAATGAACTAAATGTGGAGGGACTCAATAGAGAGTGATTCCTTTGTCACCAACTGTCCCGCCTCTGAAAAGCACAAGCACTTTAGCATTTATCCTATTTTTGTCCTGCATTAAGGTGAACAGGGTACTTATCATTCCTGCTCTTAGGCCATAAGCTTCTAGAAGCCAGGAACACTGCACTCTTCACACCCGTATCATCCCCTGCCAATCAAGACAAGGAACTGGTTGAAGTCTGAGTCCCAGTGGTAAGAGAGATAATGATCAGCATCGTCACCTGCCACTTTCCATGCCAGGCCTGTGTCCCTCCGCAGCCACTATTAGCTCATCTCATCCTCTGAACTTGTACTATTATCTGTATTTTACAGACAAGGAAATTATAGGCATGAAGAGGAACAGTAACTTGCCTAAAGTCACAAGCAGCAGGACCCAGCAGGAGACAGAAGGGGCACCCACGTCCACCCCAGCCAACCCCAAACCCGATATGCAGACCAACATCCAGAGAGCTCCAGGCTCACTCAAGTCCATACAGGGCAGGGATCCTCGCCACGGATTTCAGAATTTTATTTCCTTCAGGAGCCAAATCTTATCTTTTTCCCCCCAGTATATTTTATTTAAAATTTCACAGGCAGTGAAAATGAGAGGCATCTTGACGCTTTTTGTACTTTGGCAACTGGAATGGAACTTCTACAGACTGAGAGGAAACAGTGAATAACAGGACAGGAATGGACAGATGAATATGTATGTGCGCAAGAGATGTCTGTTAAAGTCCTCTGTCACCTCTGTCAATACACTGTCCTAAAAATAAAATGCTGAAAAATGTAAGATGAATTGCTCTGAAACTCTAAAAAAAATCTATTAAGAACAGTCAGCTTTTGGTTCCTGACATGAATGGAGGAGGGAGTCAAAGGGATAGGTAATACAGAGGAAGGAAGGAAGGAAAGAAAGGGAGAGAAGACTAGAAAAGACAAGAATAGAAAAGGAAAGAAAAGAAACATCTGAGCAACTATTAAGAATTAGGCACTATATACAATAGCCAAGCATGGAAACAACCTAAATGTCCATCAACAGATGACTGGATAAAGAAGATGCAGTGTATATCTACAATGGAATAGTACTCAGCCATAAAAAAGGAATAAATAATGCCATTTGCAGCAACATGGATGGACTTGGAAAGCATCATACTAAGCGATGTAAGGCAGAAATAGAAAGAAAAAAAACCATATGATATCACTTATATGTGGAATCTAAAAAAAAAAAAGAAATGAACTTACTTATAAAACAGAGACAAATACAGACATAGAAAACAAACTTATGGTTACCAGTGAGGAAAAGTGGTGGAGGGATAAATTGGGAGTTTAGGATTTGCAGATACTAACTGCTATATATAAACCAGATAAACAACAAAGTCCTACTGTATAGCACAGGGACTATATTCAATATCTTATAATGGCCCATAATGAAAAAGAATATGAAAAGGAATATATATATACACACACACACACACAGTTATATACACATATAACTGAATCACTGTGCTATATACCAGAAATTAATATAACATTGTAAATCAACTATATTTCAATAAAAAAAAGAATTAGACACCAGAAACCTTGTTCAGATAAAGTATGTCCATATCACTCTCACAGTCACCCTTCAAGATAAAGTCTAATTACCGTGGTTTAATGGAAGAGGAAGCAGAGGTTTGGAGTGGCTGAGCCCATCCAAAGATGTCACAGAGCTAGGAGCTCAACCCTGACCTCAGAGGCTGCACCTTTTCCCTGACACCACAACCAGACTCACCAGCTTTCTTGGAGAAAGTTGACCTAGGGGCTGTCAGACCTCAGGCAGGGGGATTCTCTGCCCAGCACACTGAGAAGTACTGAGCAGAGGCTGATGCTGAATATCTTGGGCACCTGTGCCCTGTAGAGGGCCCTGTTAGTGCTCTTCAACATCCTTGAGGAAATAATCATTCACAGACAAAGGGGACTTCCATCTCCCAAGGCTCGCTCCTGTTACCCGTGCCTCCTCCCTCAGCTAAACGAGGCTGTCCCTTAGGCTTCCAGAGGATAGCTTCCCAGTTCCTTAGATGTATTTCCTTTTGAAAGTTCCTCAGAGGCTTTCAAATATGAAAACCCAGACAGGACACCTGTCTGCAACCTGCTTCCCAATGGACACACTGGGCTGCTTCTTCCTGCCTCTCCATGTCTTGCCTGGGATGCTGTGTGCTGCCCGTTTGTTCAGGGAAACCAGCATGTGACAGGAACCTGAGTGAGCCCTGGGGAGGATGGCAGCACACCCCTTCCTGCTGCCTGATGCTGCTCGGAGAGGAGCAACAGTCCTTAGTACTCCTCAGAGCGGTACTGGGGAGGAGGGGAGAAGGCTGCGACTTACACGGATTCTGATACTCAGAGATGCTCCCTGGACAGGAACAAAGGGATGCCAAAGGAACCACCCCAACAGGACTCTGAGTAACTGCTGGAGTAAAAGCCTACATGTATTTCATTCCAAGACCTACTCACTTCGTTTTTGTTTAAATATTTAAACTCAGGTAGTATGATAGCAAAAAAACAATCCTATGAATAGTAAACCCTTTCCATGCCTTGAAATTAACTTTCTAATCTTGATCAAAGACATGTTTGTGTAATTTTTTTGAGACTTTTCTGATGTGACATTTGCTGGATGGAAAGCAAAGAGTTGGTCAGGTTGTGGGGGGCTTGGCATGAACAAAATTCAAATGTATCATCTGTAAATATCAGATGTTTACTCTGAATCAATGTGGAAAATGGATTCTAACTCCAGCTTTGTAGGAAGGGAACAAAGACAAGAGATGGTTCCAACAGTGTTCTGTTGGCTCAGTGAGCATCTTAGGAGCAAGCTTCTTCCTACCTTGCAAGTAAACAGGAAAGAAACCTACTGATTTACAGACCTCTCTCCCCTCTGTCTCTGATTCCCTCTTTCTCCTTCTCTCTTAGGTCCCCAACTCAGTATCTAAGGACAGTCTAGAACCTTGGTTGTTGTTTTTACCTTGAAATTAGAATGAGTCTCAGGGGAAAAAAACAGTGTCCACAAGGGAAGGAAAACGGTGGTTATTAAAACATTTGGCAAGTGGCAGGAACACAGTCTGGCTAGATGTCTCTAATTTGCATCTAATAACTAAACAGTGATCACTTGGGTGGTATGGCTTAGGTTTTTTTTTAAATCAACTTTTAAAAATTGAGATATAACATTCATATACTAAGTGTACAATCTTAAGTATATAATCTGAATAAATTTTGTGAAATTAATGTATTTACCTAACTACTACTCAGATCCCCATGTGGAACATTACCAGCACCCCCAAAATCTTTGTTCTCCCTTCATTTGGGTGGTTTTTTTCCTTAACAACCACCACAACCCCCTCATTCCCTAACAATAATTAGAAATTCAGGCTAAAATGAAAACTCAAGAAGTCACAGGCAAGCCCAGGGGCAACACCTAATGGATTTCATCAGGCAGCCTATGCTTACATTTCTCTGGGACAGCATCACTCCCGCACCCTGACACATCTTTTATTTAGCCCTGTCCTCAAAGAAAAGATACCTCTGAAAGGAAAGAGATTCCTGAAGCAGCTCCAAACTGTACAGAGTGAGAAATAGCTAAGGAAGCAGATAGGGGAAGAAGGGTGTGAAAGAAGGGGGCAGTGTCAGTTCTGTCCTCCCAAGGTCCCTCTGGGAGACTCTGTCCCCATCAGACCTTCACACAGGTTCACCAGAGGCAGCAGCCCCTGCCGGTGGGAGGAGCCTATCATGAAACGAATCATGAAAATCCACTCACGGCCAGTGCCACCATGGCTGGCCAGTCCTCGAGCCAGTCAGTCCCAACATGGATACCAGTCGTGAGGATGGCATCTTGCTTGTCCACTAGTAAAAATGGGCTGACTAGAACCAACCCCTCTGACCACAAAGCGATGCTGTGAGGGCAAGTGAATGTGCCCATGTGAAACTGCTTTGGAAACACTGCATTTGAAATATCAAATGTGAGAATTTAAAGCAGGGGTTGGAAATTCAAGTGCCTCCAGGAAGGCAGGTATTTGAAGGGAGCAGCTAGCCAGCACACTGGGGCATGGGTGCCCAGGCCAAAAGGGAAAGACACCTGGACATCTATGGGTTGTCTCCATGTGGAGAATGTAGGAGGCAGTATCCTCTGATTGTTCAAGAGAAACCAGAAGCTTATTTTCAAGGGAAATAACACACTTTAAAAAACTTGACAAGCAATCCAGTTTAAAAGAAGACTGATACTGGGGGCCAAATGAAACACGCTGGTAGGAGGAATGACCCACAGATCAACAGTTCTCATCCTCTGGTTGGGCTGCATTCATCTCCTGGTCCAGGGCTCTCAACATTTGTTCCCACCCCATCACTCTCGAGGGATCAGACTCGTGCCATGGACACACACTCCAGGCTAAGAACAGCCAACTGAGTCCAACAGTCTTTCTTTTTCCCCAGACAGATTATGAAACCGAGGTCCGGGAAGGAAACATGATTTTACGAAGGCCACCACAGTGAGATTCGTGGGTCTCCCCACTCCCTTTTCTGGTGCCCCCTGCCTGACCCTCTCTCCCTGTAGGCAGAGGCCTCAGTTTGGAGACAAGAGCCCAGGCAGCAGGCATGAGGTCAGGCCTCATTTCACAGACCTGGGGATCCTGTTCACCCCAAACGACCCCCGTGGCCCACAAGCCCAAGGCTCTCTGCTGGCAGTGGCCTTGGGAGGAGCCTGCGAGGGACCCTGTTCCTTACCTGCACATCCAAGTTCTTGCGCGAGGAGGCAGGTGTGTTGGCATAGGAGCTGATGGAGGAGCTGGTGTTGATGTCATCCGTGCTGAGGTTGTCTATGGTGTCGCTGATCCCACTGCTGACGGAGCTGCTGTCATCCCAGCTGCCAAGACAAACACACCCTGAGCACCAAGACCTCACACTGCACCAGCTCAGGCTGACGATACTGACAAACGCGTACCATCCCCGAAGGCTCCCGGTGTCAGCTCCCAGACAAAGCTCTTTTGCCTCTAACATGACTCATCTTCAAGAGGGCCATCCATCCTCGCTGTTTCTGTCCAGCCGCTGGGGCAGAAGTTAATATGTCCCTTCCCCCAGAGGGTGAGTGCTTCCCTGAGCAGAGGTGGCTAAACACAGACACACTGCCTATCCCATCGTCAGCCTCATCTCGGGAACTGTAGGTGGCCGCCTCCCAGGCCTGGAGGTAAGGGAGGAGCAGGGGGCTTGGAAAATAGAGCTGAAAGTGGTACAGAGAAAGAGCGAGCAGCAGCACCCTCCCTGGGGCTTGGAGGGGGAAGAAGAGCTGCTAGACAAATTCGCTGGACCTCACTCCTGGAAAAGCCAGGGAAGGAAACAGCAAAAGTCAGCAGAAATCCTTCAACTCTACTGGCAGTTCTAACTCTAATAATATCCCAGGATGCATCAAAAATAGAGTTCTTCATTTCAGAACCCTCAAATCTGTTGAGACCATCACCCCCCACCATTCAGGTCAAGTCTCCCAGCAATGATTCTTCTTTTCTCTTCCACCAACTCCTGCTTCCCAACACCATGACACTTAATCCACCACCTGGTCCTCCCTGCTCTGTTTGCAAAACCTCTCCCAAGGTGCACAGCTCTCCCCATCCCTGTGCCCCGTGGTTCCTGCTGCTTCAGCTCTGCCTCAGCCGCCGCCAACAGGCTAGCTGGGCTCCACGCTCCTTGTCTGCTCCCTAACCACACATTCTCCCCACAGCAGCCAGACTGATCTTTGTGAAACAGCAATCAGGTCTATTGTTCCACTGCTTAAAACCCTCCAGCAGCTTCTCGGGGACCTAAAACCCAGATTCCCTACTCTGGCGCTCAAGACCCTGTGATCCAGCCTCCCCTCTCCAGTCCTGTCTCAGGCTCCTTCTCCACCATTCACTGGGTCTGGGTTTTCGTGTTCAAGGCTTTGCATTGGTTGTCTCTCTTCCTGGACACCTGTTCCTGTCTCCTCATCTGAACTGTCACCTCCCTAGAAAGGCCTTCCCTGGCCCCTCTACGACATTGCTGTCCTCTCCTCCTCCATGAAGTCTGTTGCATTTTCTCATTTGTTTGGTTGCTGTGTGGCAGATACATAGCAGGTACTCAAATACTTGCTGACTAAAACATGGGCGTAGGAGTCGGGTAGGCTAGAAAGTGAGCTTCCGACGTCAGTGTGACATTGTCCTACTTGATCGAGTGGGAAAAGGTTAAGTCTTACTGTTTTTCTATTGCACAGGTGGAGAAACCGAGGCTTAGAAAGGTAAGACGCCTGGTATAAGATCAGAGAGCTAGTAAGAGGTGGAGCCGGACCTGGACCCAGCCATCCAGACTCCAGAGCCACCATCTTTGCTGTGATGCCAGATGGCTCTCCATTACGTCAATTTTCAGTGCACATAGGCACATGACACAGCCCGCTTCCCCAGGAGGAAGCCCAGGTTCGGGGGGTTGGTATGTCACTCAGCAAGAGCATCAGGGCCAGTATCTACACCCAGGGCTGTGTGATGACGAAGCATCGACTTAACCGCATTACCCGACCACTCAGCCCTCTACCGTATGCCTTTCCTGATGCCCCAGGAATGCTAGTGTCAGAACTACCATATGACCCAGCAATTCCACTCCTGGGTGCATATGTGAAGAAACAAAACCACTAATTAAAAAAGATACATGCATCCCAATGGTCACAGCAGCATTATTTATAACTGTCAAAATATGGAAGCAACCTAAGTGTCCATCCACAGATGAATGGATAAAGAAAATGTAGGGGAGATATATACATATATATATATATATATATATATATATATATATATATATATATACTACACTAGTAACTAC